TTCAGACAATCAGTATGCCTTGGTCACCTCACAGTTGAATGGCTGCAATGTGCTCCACATGGAGACGACTCAGAAGCTATAACTACTGTATTTTTCGTAGTATAAGACGCACATTCCCCCCCCCCAAAAAAAAGAGGGTGAAAATTTGGATGTGTCTTATACATTGAATGTAGCTGAATGTTTTAAATAGCAGAGAATAACATATACTTCCAGAAAGCCACATCAATTTTAACAGCTTCTGTACAAGTATAGTCTGAAATGTAACGGTGTCCTGTTGTCTAATTAGACCCTGACTTGTTTGGAGTAGATCTATTTAAATAATTGGGAGGAGTTAGTGTGACTACATTTAATAAAATTTTCTGGCATTAATATACTGCCATAATGTACATTTCTCCAATTCTTTGCTATTTCTTTGGGTCAGGCACACATGCACAGAAATACACCACAAACAGTTTATATTGTCTGTACTGTTTGCTGTTTGTTGCAAGGAGGCAAATTGCTGGGAGGCAGAGGCAGATTTTTCCCCTTGTTTTCCTCCCCAAAAGTGTCTTATACTTCTGAGCGTCTTATATTCCAAAAAATGCAGTAGTTTAAAATGCAATGGTGCGGGCAGAAACGGGGCGCTGGCTGGTGTGCTCATGAGTCCCCACTGCTAGACAAACTGCATTGGATGCCAGATAAGGGGATGGTGAAATTTGCCTGTATATAAACAAGGGTTGGGCAGTTCCTTTAACAGTATTAAAACAGCTAAGGATCCACTGCTTTAAAGCCAGAAAGAAAATTGTTCTGAGAAAAACTGTACTGCAAAAATAAACGCCCAAGACCAAATGCTACATTATTGAGGAATAATGGCTTTCTTTTGTGCAGGATAAAGTGCTACACAATATCATGCCCATTTTTACATTCATGGGAGCCAATGTCATGCGCCTGGATGATGCATACAGTTTCCGGGTGATTAACAAGACAGTGAAGATGGTTATTCCAGCTCTCATACAGGTGAGATCATTTAAACTGCGTCACTGAAATAGAATACAGGGTTCACTGACAAAACCGTGACAGACAAATGCGCGCCTACAAAACCGCGACGGACAAATGAGCGCCGTCAAAATCGCTAATTGATTTTCGACAATAGCGCGCTGACAAATGTGTGACGACAAAACCGCAACAAAACCGCAACAAAACCCTAAGCCCAATTTTTTTTCGATTTTATTGTGCTTGTCATCGCACTTTTGTCGTCGTGAATTTGTCGGTGCGATTTTGACGTTGCGTTTTAATCGGCGCGATTTTGTCGGCGCACTCATGTCTATGCGCAATTGTCAGGTCACAGAATACAGGTAGTCCTTGACTTGGAAACATAGTTAAGCTCAAAATTTCTGTTGCTAAGCAAGACAGTCATTCAGTGAGTGGTGCTGCATTTTTGCAACCTTCTTTGCCACGGTTGTTAAGTGAATCACTGCAGTTGTTAATTGAACCATGCAGTTGTTAAATTAATCTTGCTTTCCCGCATTGATTTTGCTTGTTGGAAGCCAGCTGCGAAGTTACAAACAGCAATAGCATTTAGACTTATATACCGCTTCATAGTGCTTTACAGCGCTCTCTAAGCGGTTTACAGAATCACCATATTTCCCACAACAATCTGGGTCCTCATTTTACTGACCTCGGAAGGATGGAAGGCTGAGTCAACCTTGAGCCTGTTGAGATCCGAACTGCCAAATTGCAGGCAGCTGGCAGTCAGCAGAACTAGCTTGCAGTACTGCATTCTAACCACTGTTTCCACTGCGGCCCTTAAGGTGATCACATGACCCCGAGACACTGCAACTGTCATAAATACATGCCAGTAGCCAAGCAACTGACTTTGATCTCATGATCATGGAGATACTGCAATGGCGTAAGTGTGAAAAAGTCACTTTTTTCAGTGCCATTTAAACTTCAAATGTAACTTCAAGGACTACCTCTATAACAAACTTAGTCTTGCATCTGAGACAGTATTCTTGTTTTTATTATTTTTATTACTAATTCTACTATTAAAATTAGCAACTTGGATTCTAAATGCTTTGGTTTGTTTCTTCCTTTTTTTTTAAACGGGAGTTTGCTGTAGAAAAAAATATGTCACTTTTTCTTAATCATATCATTGCTGGATTTACAAGCCATTTCCAATACTAGTTCAAACCTGCCTTTCAGACTGGCTTTGCCATACAAGCACAGCTCCACTAATTATATTCTAATGCAGTGTTTTTCAACCACTGTGCCGTGGCACACTAGTGTGCCGTGACATAGTGTAAGGTGTGCCGTGGGAAAAACACTTTATATATAGTCAATATAGGCACAGAGTTAAATTTTTTTAACATTTTCTAATGGTGGTGTGCCTCGTGATTTTTNATCACAGCGCGATGTTTTCGTCGCGCTGTGATGATGTCAAATGCGCGCTTTCGTCGACCGCGATTTTGTTGTCCGCGGTTTTGTGGTGGAACCCTAAAATCAGTAGACTGACTTTAAAATTATGCCAGCATAAAATAATGCAAGTATTCAGCTAACATGATGGAGCATCTTCTGTCAACTGAATATTGGGGCAAATTTTAAGGATAGTATGTAATTCTACCTTGATGTCATTACAGTGATGATAATAACAAAGTTGAGTCTAATGGCATGCCCACATGGCCTCTTTCCTGTGGATAAATGATTTCATTTTTGGATTCTCTGACTTTTATTCTAATGAAAAATTAATGTGGATTGATGTAGTCAGTCATTCACTATGGTTGTTTTTCTAGGTTGTTGGAAAAAATTCTTTGCTACATAAATGCAGTGGCGCAATCAATAGAAAAAAATGCCAACACTTTGACAGCCAAATTCTGGAAGGTTTTGCTCAACAAATCATATGAACTACTGGATAAAGTGAGTATTATTCTATTTGCCAGTAAGGTGACATCTTGAAGCTTTGTGATTTTGATGTAAAATAGATTTACTAATTTTAAACCACCAGATAATCCAGGCAAAAATGATAGTTGCTTAAGGTATCTTGAGTTAACCTACTACCACAGATTTGCCTAGCAAATTAATTCCAGTAACAATTATCTGTGCAATTTATATGAATAAAGAAAACAATAATACAATATAGATTTTAAAACAATATGTAGAAATTAGAGAATATTGAAAGATTTGGAAAAAGTGGAGCAAGCACATAGAAAGGTTTAACTCTGAAAGGAGAAAACTTAAGAGAATATACAATAGAACTTTGGCTTTTCTGAAAGATGGGTTATCTGAAGGACCATCTCTTCCTGGTTACATCCACCCAACCCACTAGAGCAGGGAGGCAGGAAATATGAAAGTTCCCATCTCCTAAGAAGGTACATCTGACAGGACCCAGAAGAACGGCCTTCTCCATGATGGCTCCCTCCCTTTGGAATATCATCTTGGTTCTGCCAACAGGCCTGGGGAACCCAGAGTGGGATGGAACCCGTCAAGTAGCTCATTTTATTATGTGTTGTCACCAGGAGATTGGGAGGGTTACTGTTTTTATTCTTTTATATTGGGTTTTTTATTGTTTGTAAACCTCTCAGAGTCATTGAGAGTGGAGTGGGCAGTCATATAAATCTTATAAATAAATAAGTTATTCAAAAGAAGAGTATTGTGACAGTGCTGGTAATGAAATAAAGATCTCAACCTATAGGGATAAGTTCCAATTAAGATAGGTTTTGTAATTGATAAGAACAGTTCAATAGAGAAACCAACTTCTTTAGGCAGTTATGAACTCCTCTTCACTAAATATGTTCAGGCAGAAACTATGTAGCCAGGAATTGGATTTGGTAGTCTACAAACAGCTCCTTTTAATTCTGGCTTTTCTAAATCAATTTTTCAGGCATTTGAGTGAAGGCAGAGGAAAGGAGGAACAGAGCTTTCACTTATTTTAGTCAAAACTTGAGGAAAGACTTGGAATGGAAAAAAATTGAGTGAAGAAAGCTCTCTCTGCTTATATTGTTTCCCTCCAATTTTGATCTATTTGTGAAGGACATGGGGAACAGGACGAAGTACAAATGAATACTAAGGCTAAGGATAAGCGGGCTTGAACCCATTCTGAGGCACTAACTGGACTAAACATCTGACAAAAATAAAGTGAAGGAGGGGAGAAGCACATTCACCCTTGCAAGTTTCTGCTACTATAGTTGTCATGGTAGCAGTAGTCTTGACCCATATGGCATTGGTTTCTTAGTCTGCTCTACCTTGTTGGATTGACATTGGGTTGCATTCTGAGATTTTCTTGAGCTTCCCACAAATTCAGGAGTAAGTGGAATACTCAAGACTGGATTGTTAAGGATTGTTAGATTAGTTTTCCTATCTAAATACTATTTTTTTACTATTAATTTTTTTAAAAAATATTCCTGTGTTTCCTTTCTAGATAAATTCTTTAATTCCAACAGAAACCTTTATTCCTGTCCTCAGGGGCCTGATGATCAATCAGTTGCCCTCAGTGAGACGTAAAGCCATGGATCTCCTCAACAATAAACTGCAACAGAACACTCAATGGAAGCAAACCCAGGTAAGCAATTTTTCTTAATGTCCCTGTTGCAACATAGTAGCAGCCCTTTGTGCCACATAGCATAGCAGCGGCAATGGGAAAAGTTCAGCCTTGCCCTTTAAGTATAGTACTTAAATAAAGAAGTACTGGATCTGGAACCCTGAACTTACTATAGGAAATCTTCTGCTGTAGGCTTGTTTGGATTGCAAGATCTGGATGTTGGTTTGGATGTTCCCATGAATGGTTCCACATTATTTTGTCCTTTCAGGTGGAACTGCTGCTAGAATTGGTTCCCGACCTCCTCTCTGTGGTGCAGCATCCGGAAGCTGAGGAGCAGGCAATTAATAGGCAGACGGCCTTGTATAGCTTGAAGTTGCTGTGCAAGTGTTTTGGCAGAGAGAAACATGAGCTGTTTGTTGCTGTGCTAAAAGTGGCCATTGAGGTGATTTCTTCAGATGGGAAAGAAGAAAGAAATGTCGTGGGAAGTGCTCTGTTGTGTGCTGCTGAGATCACCTGTGTGTTGAAAGCATTGGCTATACCTCAACTTCCAAGGTACTCTTCTTCAAGCATAATTAAGGATCAAGAAATTGAACATCTGGACTGTCCCTTGAAATTTTTGTTCAAAATATGCCTTGCATTGCAATGTGATCGAATATCAGTTAAGCAGCTCTAAAAGATAGGGTGGTTATTTCTCTTCTTCTTTTAGAGACAGACATAGGTTTTCCAACAAATTCTAAAGGGGGGAAATCAGTTGGCATTGGAAAAAAAATATTTCCTTCCTTCTGTGCAAATGATTCTTATTTTTCTAGGCCAGATTGATTGCTCTTCCTTTCAAAGAAATGCTTGAGTAATATTCATAGGAAAATTTGTACAATTAGTTGGAAGCTTTCTGCAAAGCAAAGAAAAATTAAGCACTTTCCTGATTACAATCATTCAAGAAAGTAGTGATAGATTAAAATAACTTTTGACTCAGATATGCAATTATCTACTACACTGTCCTCTATGTAGATTAAGAAAGTTAACTGAATATTCATTAGATATTTTTGTGTTTTCGGAAGAGCTTGGCTTTGACCTTATTTAAAATACCATTTAGAGAAATGTATTTGTATTTTACTGGGAGGTCTGTTTGAGTATGAACAGGTTAATCTTGTGTATCTTTTCTCATAGGCTTATGCCGGCATTGCTAAATATACTGAAACACAAAAAGGACTTAGTTGCCAATGAAATTTATTTACTTAGCACAGTGACAGCTCTACTGAAAATTGTGGAAACGTTGCCACGCTTCCTCAGCCCATATTTGCTGAATGTCCTGCTCCAGGTCAGTAAACCTACTTTGATTAAGAGCAAGTATTAGTTAAGTAGCACAATGTGTGAAACCTCTGTGAAATAATTTGATGTGTACATTGGCTGCCTCCAAGGTGGTCCACTTGGACAGAATTACTGTTGAAATGGGACCTTCATCCCAAGTTAATCTACGCGTGGCATCTCTGAAAACCACTTTGGCAACAAAACTTCCATCAAGAGTTCTTCTGCCAGCAATTGCCAAGTGCTATGGTGAAATTGCAAGTGCTTCTAAGGTGAGATGCGCCTCGGTTCTTCCAACACATCGCTTGTTATATTTCAATGCATACTGTATAGTCAATATATTACCTCAGGCAATAATGGAGTTCAGAAAGTGCATGGCATCAACACTTCATTGAGAAGGAGGCATAATTCCACCCGCAAAAGGGGGCTTCCTTTACTTAGGTAACCTGTTAACAGATTTGGCGCTTAGTTTCTTTTCTTGGGCAAGGAAGACGAAGAGCAGGGTCATGGTTCCTTATGGCTCTCAAATTTCACACTATCCTGGACCGGATGTTTTCCTTTAAAAAAAGCTGCTATCGAGTTTTTGAAGGGAAACTCAAGCAATTTGGACAGCTTTATTTAATAATTTGAATCCCCTTGGGTATTAAACTGAACTTGTATCTTTGTTCTTCTAGAATGATGTAGGTACTATTATGGATGTTTTGAAGGAGCACATTGTAACTCTGGAGAAAGATCAGCTCTCTGCTCATCAATCTGAGCTAACAGCATTTTTCACAAAGGCTTTGGACTTCAGAACCGAACACGCTCAGGTGAAGCATATGAGATCTTTTGAGAGTAGCACAAATGTATTCCTTTTCAAGTGAGGTTTCATCTCTTTATGGGGCAGTTTAAAAAGCTCAGTTCTGGGTAGGGTTATGTCCACAATCCGATAAACATTGCTACAAATATTTTGATAACGCCTGCTTTATTCTAGGACAATTTAGAGAAGGTTGGCAAAATAGAAGCTCGGATTATCGCATGTTTAATCAGCATGGTTATGAAGCTTTCTGAAATATCTTTCCGGCCCCTGTTTTTCAAGGTAGGCATTTAAACACGCTTCTATCTCCATAGGTTTCGTGTTTGTGTTTTGATACAAACAAATAAAACCCCCACGCCCGGTCTCTCTTTTTTTCAGCTCTTTGATTGGGCCAAAACTGAAGGTGCCCCAAAGGATAGACAGTTAACTTTTTACCGCCTGGCAGACTGTATTGCTGGTGAGCTAAAAGGGCTGTTCAGCCTATTTGCTGGCCATTTAGTGAAACCTTTTGCTGACAATCTCAACCAGATCAACACATCAAAAATAGGTAAAAATTCTAATTTAAAATAAATGCAAGGAAGAAAAATATTTTAATAAAATACAGTATAATGCACTAATAATGTAACAATCCATATTTATATATTGGGTTGACATGAGGGGTCCTTGGTGCTCTGAGCTTGTGTTTTTCCTGCCGATATTTCATTACCCAAACTATGTAACATCATCAGTGATAACTAGATCAGTGAGTAGCACTGATGATGTTCCCTAATTTGGGTAAGGAAACATCTGCTAGAAAACAAACAAACTCAAGAGAGTACCAAGGATCCCTCATATTTATAGTTTTTCTTTGAAACTTATTTACATTGTTATTTTCATTTTTTTTAAATGGAAGCCCAGGCTCAATCAACTCAAAATCCAACTTCTGGTAGTTCACCTTCAAAAAAATAAACCATAGGGCTCATTCACATTAAATTAAGTTTGTTTAACTTTAACACAGCCTGTGTCATGTCTTCAGTGGGTGAAGATACCGTGTTTCCCTGAAAATATGACCTGTCCTGAAACTAAAGCCTTACCACATTTTTCGCATGGGCAAAAATATAAGCCCACCCCAGAAAATAAGCCCCCTGGACAATCCCCCCGCTCCGGCCAGGCAGGTCCCCATTCACTCACCTAGGGGCATTCCCAAGGCGCCGAGCTGCGGGAGGCGGAGGGCGGCGAACAGGTGCTCACGTTGCTTGGTGCCTTCTGGGTACTGCTAGATCGGTCAGCGGCGCTGTGCCTGGCTGGAAAGGGGGGTTGCCGGGCATCTGCTCGCAAGCGTGGCCACCTCATGGCTGCTGTGTTGCTGCTGCGACAGCGCAGCATAGCCATTCGGCCCTGAGGCTGTGCCCAGCTCTTCAGGACCCCGGTCGCAAGGGAGCAGCTGCCCGGCAACCCAAATACAATAAGCCCTTCCCTTTAATAAGCCCAAGGCCATATTTCGTGGGTCAAAAAAATATAAGACCCTGTCATATTTTCGGGGAAACACGGTAAGGTTTAGAATCTTGTGTTTCATTTTCTTCATATTATTTATGCCTTTATTCCTGTACATTTTGCTCTTTATTACAGATGCAGATGAAGCTTACTTTGACTCCGAGGGTGACACTGAAAAAAGTTGCTTATTACTACAGTATAGCCTTGACTGTTTGTACAAAATCTTCCTTTTTGATTCTCATCATTTTGTGAGCAAAGAAAGGGCAGAAACATTGATGCTACCTTTAGTCAATCAGGTTAGAAAGCAGTCACATTCTTATTAGATTATTACCTAATAGGTTTCCACTGTGCTATATAATTCTTAGATGATTTTTACAGAAGTACTTTATTCATTTAAGATGGTTCCTTTTTTAGCTTCTCTTATTGTCAAATCACCATACTCAGTTTAGAACATGAGCTGAGTGATATACTTGTTATAAAGGAACAATCTACCAGTCTTGTACAACCAGGGGTTAAATGCAGTGTTCTTATGGATTCCCAAAAAGGGATATTAAAAGTATATAAAGAATCAAAGGAATCAAAGAATAGATAAGAAAAATAAAAGAATCTATTCTAATTCTAAAAGCTCCAGCATAAAATTGCTCTAAGGAACAGCAAAGAATTTGGTCAGGCTAACTAGCCCATTGTTGGTTGAATTTTTTGATTTTATTTTTTTCTTTGTAGCTGGAAAACATGCTTGGAGGAGAAGAGAGATTCCAGGAGAGAGTGACTGTGCATTTGATTCCATGTATAGCGCAGTTTGCAGTTGCAATGGCAGATGACGCTCTGTGGAAGCCCCTGAACTATCAGATTTTGCTAAAGATGAGGCACGCATCACCCAAGGTGAGTGGCAGATGTGTTAAGTTCTGCTTAAGACAAGCAAGGTGGCCAATACAGTTTAATACATGTTGGGGGTCAGTCTTTCAAAAACTGGAATGTTGTTGATTGTGCCCAAATGTTACACAGGAGGGAGCCAGAATTGGGCCATTCTGACTGCGCTAACTTTTGAATGTGCTGACTGCACTTATTTTTGGTTTAGGTTCGATTTGCAGCTTTGTTGGCTTTGTTAGAGCTTGCTGAAAAAATAAGAGAGAATTATATGGTGCTACTACCAGAATCCATTCCTTTCTTAGCCGAGCTTATGGAAGGTAATGTATTGCTTATTGTTTTTGCATCGAATTACTTTTTTCCATAAAACTACTTTTAATGAAGAATGGCTGTCCTGCAGTTCCACCTTAGGGACAAATTATCCTGTCTCTGTAGAAAACTGCTGGACTTCAGGCTGCATGGTACCACCCACTAAACTATATTCTTAGGTCCTATGAGCATTTATAGCCTTATAGTTAAGAATAGATTCATTAGAGAATGTATATTTTTCTTACTTACAAGGAAAACTTTTTCCGTGGCCGGTTTTCAGCATGAATGTACAGAATGTATCAAAATCCAAGTCAATGACTGTACGTTTTATTTCCAAGAAAATGTCACAGTATTTATGTTCAAAAGTCATATGTCAAACAAGGAAGTGTTTAGAAGAAAATGGAATTAATGCAAGCATTGTGTAATTTATATAATGAATAGACTAGAAGGCTATAGTACAAACACACACAGTTCATACACACAGTGTATCTATGTACTGAGTTGATTCAATTGCAGATTAGGGAAGCTCTAAAATTCATAATTAAGTACTGATTGAACCCCAGCTATTTATAATGTTATTTTCTGCAATCTGAGAAAATTGATTCTTCTTTAGACAGAGCTAACATTTAAATTATTAGTTTTAGAATAACCTTGAGCTTATATGCCTTGCAATATGCTGGTAATTGCTTTTTCTGAGAAAACCTTTGGAACCTACTGGGAAAGTTTCCTTGGAATTTCCCAATCTTTCCCAAATTTAATTTTAAGATTAATACATAATAGCAGTAATATATACATTTTAAGATGTCTCTTTGAAAAGGTATAAGTTTCCTCCCCATGAGAGGAAGGGTACATTCGAAAATAATAATAATATCCAAACAATTTAAAAGCAGCTTAAAAAAAATCTTTGGAAGGTGGGAGAGAAAAGATGGAGATTGAGAGAACCCTAAGTTGTTTGTTTCTTTTTGCCTCCTTGGCAGATGAATGTGAAGAAGTGGAGCATCAGTGCCAAAAGACCATTCAGCAGCTTGAACTTATTCTTGGGGAACCACTCCAGAGCTACTTTTAATCCCACCCCCCAGCTCTTCTCTGTTTAGAGGTTAAGATTTGCAAGAAGGACCAACCTTTTTCCTCACTCTTTGTTTTATGAATGCTTTTACAAATATATTTGACCATTTTGCTCAATATTTATGTTAAAAGGACTGTTTAGATTTTAATTAAAAAGGGACAAATTTTTAAGTGTAACTTCTTTATATTTACGTTTTAAACGGTTGCATTACACTTACTATACCGAATAAAGTTTAATTTCTTATAACTTTTCTGGGCCACCTAGAAATTTTTTATCACATCTACTGTATATGTTAATTTAGAACTGACAGAACAAATTCAACCCTTTTATTTCCCCATCTAGAAACTCATACTGTCCTAGTTGAAGAACTGATTTCATCTTGGCTCTCAGTTCTTCCTATTATTCATACCAAAGCACTGTAAGGAGACAAATACAATTTAACAGAAGATTCCACATTGCTTTGCACTTTCGGAATTTTAATTATAGTTTGGAAATTCATATATTCTCTATAAACCTCAGCAGAAAATTATAATTATATAGATTTTTAACAATGCTAGGCAGTAGATTGAGATACAAAAACTGTTGCCTAGGTAAACAATCTTAATGTAAACATGGTATATATTGCACAGAAATATGCAGAAGCCTGCTAATTTTACTGAACACTGATGAGGCAGTCCTTATTGAGTTCAATGGAGTTTCTTTCCGGATTGCAACTGCCATTTACATTTAGGTACAATGTCAGTTATATCAAGATGATTCTCTGGCAAGCAATTAATAAAACACAGGTACTGCACAACTACCAACATCTTACATCTAGTAGTTGAACATCCCCGAAGACTTCCAATATACGGATCTTGTCAAGCTGCTTAAATCGATGTTTGTACTCTAGAATATGCACGCCATTGATAGCAACATCATATTGATGATCTTTGCAGAAAATTAGTAGCTGAAATTCAGAAGGATAACGTCAATAGCAATAGAATCAACTTACGGGGCAAAAAGTCTGTAGAGATTCTCCGTCATCCAGATGATGGTTGTCCCAAAGGTGCTTTTTCAGTAGGCAACTGGACTTTGTTTTTTCTTTTGAAGACATTTTGCTTCCCATCCTGACAGGAGCTGAAGAATTCCCCACTATCCTGTCAGAGCTGAAGAAGCTTCTTATATGAGAAGTGAAATGTCTTCAAAGGAAAAAAAACCAAGAAAGTCCAGTTGCCTCCTTGAAAAAGCACCTTTGGGACAACTTATGGGGCACTTCAAGACTCTTTGGAAAGGAAACAATACAAATACAATGTAATGCCACTTAATTAAGATTGATCTTTCAGGAATCCTTTATCAAATCAAGCTATCTAATTCACTATATCCCTTGAATAATTTTATAGTGTTTAAATCAATTTTCTGAATGTATCCATAAAACTTGTCTACAACACAATGTGTTGCAATACTGAAACTACAAGTAGTTATAGTTCTTTCTGTGGATTGCCAAACCTTCAAATCTTGAAAAGGAAGAACATGTAATGCAAAGGCCTGACTACCATCTTGTTTCTAGATAGTTACCAATTTCTGTACATCAGAGAGCTATAACTGACCATCTTAGAGTTTAATGAAGAGGTATTTAATTCCCAGAATTCCTGAACTAGCCATGCTGGCTCAGGAATTCGGAAGTTGAAATCCACATGTATGGTTTTCCATACATTTCATGAAGTCCAAATGTGTGTTTTTCCATACATTTCATAGTAATATTTCCCCTCCTCCAATTTCATTCTTTATCATGAATAATTCATAAATGTGTGAATTATTAATGTCATGCTATTATTTATATCACAATTCCAGTTGTGACTTACGGTGCCCTACAGTAAATATAAATAGTTTCTGTTAAAATCTAAAACATTAATAGGCAATATACAGTTTAGTAATCTTGTTTAGTTCCTACCTCAAAGTACATTCCTGGCCTGAAAGGAAAATGAGCAATAGATCTTTCCTCTTCTCCCCAGCTATCGAACAGATAAGAATTTCTCACAAAAACATTGTCTTTTATTCGGGGATTCAAATGAAGAGCAATATCGCTTGACTCACTCGGTTTAAGATTAATTGCAAAGCTGAAAATAAAAATGGTGACATCAGTTATGTTATGCCTTAGCACTCCTCCAACTTGGTGGCCTCTATTATGTTCAGTTCTATCACTCCCATTAGCTCTCCTTCCAAGTTCATTCATGCCTTGGCCCAGGTTGGTAGTCAATCGTCACTACCACTTTGCTGGTGACATGGATCTTAACTCAGTTTCAAATATAAGCTTCAGTCCTAATCTTGATGAATAGATTCCCTCGATGTTAGAGACCCATAGCTCAAGAGCCTTGCTATGACAAAAATCACAACCACCAATTGGCTTCAGCCCACAATTCAACTAGCTGATAGAAATCTCCCTACCTTTGATTCAGAATATAGGTTAATAAAGTAGGCAATAGACACTTCCATGCCAGATAATAACTCTTGTTAGTTTCCATGCAAGCTAAGGGCATTACGACTTAGGACTATGCTCCAAAATATTACAGTGTAAGGCATTACAGTGAATACATGTCTGTTTAAACAGTTGGCAGGTGGAAATTATGTTGAACAGGTGACAGAAGGCTAGTACAGTGTCTGTCAGGCCCACATACCTAGACTAGACCAGAAAACCATTCCTGAGAGAGAACTATTATTGAATCTATTAGTGGAGGGATGGAAAGAAGCAAATGTATTAAAGGTTTTACATATCCAAACTTAAGGATAACTAACATGTCAAATATCTGGGTCAAGCAAAGACAGTGTGGAGAACAAGATCTTGACTGATATGGGGGAAATGTATCATTTAGCAAAATCACTGCTGAATAGGTCAAGGGGTAGCACCAGGATTGTTGCTATTTCAGCATCTCTTGTTCCTTCATCTCTGCATAAATTAAATTGTTGTAAAACTGTTCAGATAAGTAGGTGTTTATGGACTTTCTCTTACATTACAAATCTGTGGGTGATACTAAATTCCATGGTTTTAGGTTAAAGACATACTGTAAATTTTAGGTTAAGGACATACATGTGGAGGTTAGTAGGGTTTCTTATGAACTCAGTAAAGTTTTTCTGTAGAAGTTTAGGAATGAATTTCAAACGCCACTGAAATAATACCAGCATGTAAAATATGCAATGTTACAAATAATGCAGTATTCCAATACACTAACCCATTTGCTTTTTCTTTAACTTCTCCTTTAACAGCAATTGTTCGTCCAGGCTCAACAGAATAATTAAGTTTCGCTGAATAAGGAATTACCTGTAAATATAATCAGACCCAGAGTTACCTATGCCAAAATTAATAAGCTGCAGATTATAAATATATATCATGTATCTAGTTTTCTGTACTTGCATATCACTAGAGGCATATAACAATTAAAACAAAGACAAGGCAATAATAATTAAGAAAAAAATTAAAAACAAGTGATTATTCACAATTATTACTCATTTACAGATTTATGGAGGTTCACATTCAGAAAATGATCTGAACAAGCCTACTTTCTGTTTGGCTGTGACAAGCTTTCTCTCTTACTCCCTTAGATTTAAAACAGAGATGCTCCAGGACAATTATCAACTCCCAATATCTCTGTATTGTACACTTTTCATGTGATAGATAAAATTATTAAACGTGTGTGGGGGGTCAATGTTCCTCCTCAATTCAGAGCTTTTAAGATGTCACTTTTTAATTTTTCATATGTCCTTCTTCCATTTATCTATTTCCAGTTGCTGAAGCTATTTTCCATCTGAAGCAAAACAGCTTAGAACAAATATTTGAGTTTAAACAAAACTTAACAGTAGCCTAATCCTCTGGAATGAATTAAGTGAAAGTAAACAAATAATATAAATTAGAGAAATTGTGGGAACACTTTACGGTATGTTCCGCCTCTCTGCCTTCTTGGCTTACCCGCGAAGCATATCGAAGATATAATCTCAATTTAAACAAACTTTTATTTAATCAAACTTAATTATATCCTGACCCTGCCATTCAGCTTAAAGAGTGTCCTTCAACTGGAAAAAGATTGTGTAATGTGCATGAACAGATACAGTACATTCATGTGCAATACTGGAAACTTTGAAGCAACTATTACTTTCAATCTAAGTTTGGTTCTTATAAAGAAATATCTTACAATAGTAAAATGATGAGTCAGAAGACAATCTGGACTCTCCATCACATGATCTTCACTCAGTTTCTCTAAATTGATTTCCTACTCATATTTTAACCAATTCTTATATATGTTTCAGGATTTGGTGCTGATTTAATAAGAAAGATATCAGATTAGGGAAGGCTTGGGAGCTGACATCTGGACCAAGATAGTGGGTTTTCTATACTTTACATATAGCTAACAAATTTACTGTTCAATATTGGAAGGACAAATAAACATATGACCAACTATTCAAGCAATTTATGAATTAATGACTTATCAATATAGATTAGCTATGGATAGTTCTAACAAAATATGGTTTCCATTCATTGAAGTGTCTATTGTATAACTTTATATATATGTCTATGGATATGTCCACTGTACATTTTTATTTCTTCTTTCATCTTTTTTCCTTCTATAATTTTGTGTATTCTTTTTATATTTAATTTGGATAGGAAAGCAACAATTTATCAAGAGCTTAACTGGGTCTATCATAAACAAATTAAGCTTATCTCTTTTTCAACAAAAGAGGGGAAACAATAGGTATATTTCACCCTGACCTCAATAAAGGACTATACAAATTATCTCTTGTGATCATTAATGAAATATTAATGCAAGTTAGATGATGCAATTATTAGATAGATTTGTAATTAGCCAAATGACCACACAGATAGTATTCATAAATAATTCCACATTAGCTTGGAAAGTAGTATTGAATAGAGTGCCAGAAGGCCCTATCTTGGGTCCTGTGCTATTCAACATTTTCATTAATGACCTAGATGAAGGAAGTTGAAGATTATCCAATACACAGATGTAAAAAAAAAAACCTAGAAGTGGTTAAGAAAAGATTCAGAAAGATCGTGACAGGTTTGATTAGTGTATTGAAACACATAGGATAAAATTTAACAGAGAAATATGAACACCTGCACCTGGAAAAGGTGAGGGAAAGAAAAAAGGGAAAGGCCCAAGTCAACAATGCTCCTATTCTACTCTTTTTTAGTCAGACCACATTTGGAACATTGTGTCCAGTTCTGGACAATACAGCTATGCATTAGCAAACCGGTCTTGGAATAAGTTCAAAGGAAGGCCTCAAAATGGTGAGGGAACTGAAAACCAAGTCCTATCTGCAAAGCTGAAAGGAACTGCATATGTTTAGCATACAGAAAGGAAGACTAAGGAAAAATATGATAGCAGTCTATCTAAAAGGCTGTTCTAGAAAGGAGGGAGTAAATTTGCTCTCTATTGCCTTGTAAAGCAGGATCGGATCATTGGGTTGAAACTACAGGGAAACTGATTCAGGTTAGATGTTAGGAGGAATAACCCGATAGGAAGAACTGTTAACTGGTGGGTAACAGTTCAGAGACTGAAGAACCATCTGTCTCAACTGCTTTCATAGACCCTTCACCAAGCAGATAACTAGATAATCTTTGAGGTCACAATTCTATGGATTTATTTCAAGGAACTCTAATGTGGCCATTGCAAATGGCACTTGCAGAAAACTATCAAAAGAAACTGCCCTGAAGGACAATTTTAATGCAGCCATTGCTGTTTGCTAAATCAGCACTTGTTTGGTTTATGCAGCATGCAGTAGGAGTTCTTCAATAAACCATGGCTTAGCAGAATTTTGAATCCAGTCACTGAATCTTGTCAGAGGAGTGACAAATCATAAATCAGCTATGCCCTGGCCGCACCCGTGTGCAAATACCATTGTAATGAAAAAGTTTACATTGAGATAAATAAAAGTTCATGTCCTTTTATGTTCATTTTCATTCTGTAACACAGAAGTCCCCAATCCCTGGGCTCAGAAATAAGTCTGTGCAAGCTAGCGAAGCCCCATCCATAGGATGGAGGCCGCTTGCAAAACCACGCTCCCTCCAATCCACGAAAAAAGCTCTCTCTAAATAACTGGTCCCTGGTGCCCAAAAGGTTGGGGGTCACTTCTATAACATGTTGTAACAGTTTGTATTTAGAAAGATACTTACAAACTGTGAGCTATCAGGTACATCTTCCTGTGTAGAAAAAAAAACAGTCTTAAATATAAAATAAGAGAACAAAATTGTAAACTTAAAGAATACATTTCCCACATTTATGGATGCTTGAGAATCTTGATCAACGTAAGATATACAATTAAATAAAAGATACTGACATGAACTTTGATATATGAATATTAGTATACTATACTATATAAATAATAATAGTAATATTATCTGAATTGTGATACAAATAATAATATTAGTAGTAATATTATCTGAATTGTGATATTTGAGTAGTCCTTGTTCAGCAATCACAATTGGTTCCAGAGACTTGGTCACTAAGCAAAATGGTTGCTAAGTGAAAAATCACAAGACCACAACTGTGTTTGTGATTTTACTTCAGCTTTCTTTTCCTTCAATGAGTCAGAAGGATACAGCCCTAATAGCCAGGTGAGCCCAAGCAGCAGGGAAGGCTTCCAGAACTCAATTCATGAGGAAGCTGGCTAAAAGACCAAATCATATAGCTCTTTTTTTCCCTCCTCTTCCCTGCGCTTTGGAATACTCACCCTGTTGCTAGAATAATTAGCAAGGAGGAAATAAATGTTTGTGGAGAGGAACAAATTGCAAGAGAATAAGCAGGTATACAATGAGGAATTTATTGAAAAGAATGTGCTGGTACTAGTTGTTTGCCTAGCCCGCATGCAATTGTGAGCTGCTTTGGAAGCAAACAAAAGCCTTCAGTGTGAAACTTATTACAGGGAGTCCTCGACTTAGAACAGTGAGTTTAGTGACCATTCAAAGTTACAATGGCATTGGAAAAAAAGTAACTTGTGACTGTTTTCCCCATTTACAACCATTGCAGCATCTCTATGAACACGCGATTAAAATTCAGACACTTGGCAATTGATTCATATTTATGACGGTTACAGTGTCCCAGGGTAATCTGATCCCTTTTTGCAACCAACTGACAAGCAAAGTCAAGAGGGCAGCCAGATTCATTTAACAATCATGTTACTAACTTACCAACTGAAGTGATTCACTTAACAATTATGGCAAGAAAAGTTGTAATTCACTTAACAAATATCTCACATAGCAATAGAAACTTTGGGCTCAATTGTGGTCATAAGTCGAGGATTACCTGTACTTTGTCTAACTGTATATAAAATTATAAAATAAAATATAAATAGCATATTTTAAAAATATTTACATATTTGCTTTTAATGCCCATTTTGTTTACAATATTCACATTTACAATGTAAACATATAACATGCAGAGTGTTGTTAATTTCTTCATTAATGCTTTTATATGCTATTGCTATAATTTGATCTTTTAGATCAAGACGGCTCCTTATACTGAATATGTGAGCAAATTGCATGTTCCACTTCATAATTATGAATGGTTCAATCCATTCTATTGACATCATGAATGTATACCTTGCATACCAACATAATGTTGTAAGAAACAGAATAAATAAAATCAACATTCAACATACATTCAAATATTTTATACTTAGAGCAATGCCAAAGTAACAGACTTTCTATTGCAATAACTCACCTTGTTGGAAACAAATCCAATCAACGTAACTTTCACTTTTCCTGATATTGCAAGAGTGTCAATTTTTTCCAAATTAATCTTATGTTTATACAGCAACACATGCTTTCTATTAACTGACACCTGTAAAAAACAACCAACTAAAATTTGAATATTTTACACAGAAGCACTGATAAAGTTTACATAACAAATTATTTTTAAATTAATCAAACACATCTTAAGGTATTTTATAAAAAGTAGCCGTTTACTTTTGACTATAATTTAGCCATAGCTAAACCATAATTAAGAAACTATGATTTAAAGCCAAGCTAAGCAAACCTTTTGTTTGAGGGTTGCAATTCATTTCTTCTGATCGACATGAAGGCCACAACGGGTGTGGCTGGTGATTCTACAATAACGGTGCAGTAGGTTTGGCTAAAACTTTTCAAATCTATTTTTAGCATGACAGGATAATTGACATAATTGATGACTGTAAGGCTAATACAGCAAAACCTCTGACAATTTGAGAAAAAAAGTCAATCCAACTCTTGGGGGGATTCCAACTTTTTGGGGGGGTCCCTTTATATCACTGCAAATATTGAAATACTCATTTGCCTTTGCAAGATTTGAAGCACCCATTTTCTAAAATGTTTATTATCTTTGAGAGGATCCTGAGATCACAGCTGGAAGGCTAGAACCACATACAGCCTGCCAATCCCTAGTTTAGAGTTATATATGAATTAAAGGTGTTCCTTTGCACCATTCTCTAGTGGTTAGATTTCAAGGTGCTAATAAAATGCCAACCATCCCCAGGGTTGAATCTTGCCCAGCCTTGCATTAAGACCACCTCTAGCGTATTAGGAACAACATTATTTAACACCTCAACCAGTAGTGCAAGATAGGAGGAGTAAGTATTTGCAGGGAAGAAAATGTCTTGTTCTTATCCATCTGCATCTAGAAGTCATATTCAAGAGTGCCATTCATTCTGAAATATATGGTTCTTATATGAGTGCAATTTGGCAGTTCAAATACCACCAGGCTCAAGGTTAACTCAGTCATCCATTCTTTTGAGGTGGGTAAAATGAGGACCCAGATTGTTGTTGGGGGCAATATGCTGACTCTGTAAAACACTTAGAGAGGGCTGCAAAGCACTGTAAAATGCTTTATAAGTCTAAGTGCTAAGTGCTATATGCTGCACTCCTAAAAAACTGAAAAAGCTTTCTGAAGTTTACCTCCATGACCTCTACCTGTTTTAGTCGCAACCATTCAAACTTTAAAGAACAGTATAAGAGAGTTTTTCTCCTTCTACCACAGACAAAAATGTTGGGATTTGACTGCAGAGTTGTGGGTGGGATGCATATTTTTGTGTTTGCTCTTTTGGTGATAGCAGTGATCTAACTAGGTTTCAATTACATTATGTTAAATATATTTGAATATTTTGATTGTTATTGCAAGTTATTAAAAAAACAAAATGTGGGATATATAAGCTAAATAAATACAATATTACAAGCATTGAGCCAGGAAGTATCTAACCAAAAAAATAAAATTTAGATAAAATTAAGTAGTTAGTACTCTCAGTGAAATCAAAGTAACTTAAGCCTAAATTTAAATTTAACCTGTTGAAACCAATGGGAGCTCAGTATATAGTTGCAGTGGTACAGAACTTATTGAACTAGTATTGATAACTGGTTGATTAAATAATTAAATCATAGCAATTTACCTGGAATTTATCATGGCGAACCATAAAAACTATCTCAAAAGGTTTTGTTTTTTCGAAAGGCATCTCATAAGTAATCTCTTCTGTGCCCCATTTTTCTTTCTGTAAGGTATTGCAAATTAGGCAACCGGATCTTTTGAACCGAGGGTTGAAATGAAAGGCTACATCGGCACGAGGTTTTGCACTGTTACCACACTGAAAGTCCACCTGGAACCTAGTAAAAACAACCACACTGGAGTCAATGCAATCTTGTTGAAACAGCAAATAATCTCTAGAAATGCAGAACCTTCAAACTGTTGCCTCCATATTCCACCCTGTTATATGAACATAGAATTGTGAGTAGGATCAACAAGAACATTCATTATGTAGTCTGCCCAGACTCATGATGACATCTTTAAAGAACAATATATAGGCTTTAGAAGCATTGTTTCTAACTTCTGATATGATTTCCAACATGTGGACTGAGTTTTCTTATAGGACCACGGACATCCCTAAAATAACACACTCGTGGCTATGGTCATTCTACAGGACAGTGTCATAATTCTAGCTAATATTTTGAAAGGTTATTACAAATATAGGCATATCTTTAAAACATTTTGCTCATTTCTTTTCATATTTGTATTTCTTATTCAATGGTATAAGACGGTCTCTTGCATGCAGTACTAAAATCAATTACATTATCCATGCAAATGTAAGTTTGGGGACTGGTTTAACAAAATAATGTAAACACTTTCACCAGTAAATTTGTGATCTAATATCAATTGACAATTATTATTGTAGGGAAAGTCTAACATTCCTCAAAAGCTTTAATTTCTCAAAAGAAAGAACGAACCATTTCAATAAATGAACAAATGTATATATGGTGCTTGCCCACAATATCCTTATACAATAGCTTTTAATAAAACTTTTTTTTTACCTCTCTGAATCTTCAGGAACAAATCCATGTATTATTACAAGATCTCCAGGTGAAAGACCATCCATTAAGGTTCCAGCATATGGAACAACCTATTTTAAAAAGACAAGATATGTAATTTCTAGCCTTGCAACTTAAAGCTGAAAATCAATTTTTCACAATGTTTGATTTTTTTTAACCTAGATATAGTAAAATAATTAGCATGCTCTTCCAGTTTAGTTAGTTCAGACAATCTCTTCCTAAGGATAATCCCTAAGATTCAGAATCTCTAAATCAAAATGTGAATATGCAAGATCAATATTTCTCTGGCTTGAGCCATTTATTTTCACTCAACTGCTGAGAATAAGGACATGCATGCAAAATTAGGTAGCTGTATGCAGCAACACTTATGCAAGAAAGCATTGCTATGGACCTTCATTGTAATATGTGATTTCAAGGCAATCAATATAATCCAATCAGTTTTACAATAAGCCGCGTAGAAGAAGTCATCAGTGTAAAAGCTAGATTAAAGTTTGAGACCTAAAATTATTCTAAACCAAACAGTTGGGAAACACATTTGAGCAGGCAGGATTCAAAGTCTATTTTTCTGCTCTGCATGGAAACTATTGCAGCTTCACTGCCCTTATTCTTCTCATCTTCTTTTCTCAACCTCTCACTTAAGAAATCCCCTTTTTTAAAGACAACAAGGAAGAAGAGATAATCACTGGGCTCCGGACTGTCCTGTCAAAATTGTCCAAAGACATCATTTTCTGTCTTCTCAGCTTTAGAAGTTTGTAGGCTCTGTACGATCCAAATGCAAACAATATCTGAAAAGGTAAAATTATAGAGCTACATTTTAATTGAACATAACTGAATACATTAAGTATCCTGAGAGAACCATTAAAGGAAACACAAACGAAATGTTTGGAAAGAGAATATGATAGAAAAACCTCTGATACCTTTGTGTATGAAGCTATCTGGAGGAGAACAGATGTAAACTACTCTGGGAGATTTAACGTTATTAAGCTATGGTGTTGACACCTCATCTAGCCTTTCAAGCAGTGTGGACTATCTCTTGACAAACAGAATCTGAAATAGTTCCAAGGAAGAGGTTTTTTTAAAATGCTCAGAACTTGAATTGTCTCACGCTTACGTGTGAACTCAAAGAAAAAGTCACCACTGCTACTAGTACAACTATGATCACAAGTTTCTTTAATGAATCACTATGATTTTCCTCCACACACCCAATATCTTCTGTAATTACCATTTCATACATGAAATGGGAGCAGTTATGCGTGTTTTTAGAATGGCAAATATTACACTTCTGCTCTCTGCTCTTTACTTTTTGCACGTCACACTTTGCTTTTGGGTCCAATTCAAAGTGTTGATTCTTTAAAGCTATTCTTTAAAGCTATTTGTGGCATAGTCCAAGTTTATTGAGGGACCAACTCTCCCACCTCTGCCCGTCCCAATCAGATCCAGCAGAAAATATGACACAGGATGCTGTCTGGTAAGGAGCTGCACTTGGCTCCAGTGCTGCCTCAAATTTTAGGATTTTATTAGCATTTAAAAGGTGACATTAGCTCCTTTAATATGGCAGTCAATGGCTCTTTTTTAACTTTAAAAAAGCAGGCTTTTCTCTAGGTCATTTCTTTTGGCAGGCAAGAACCTTCTTTTTCAGCAACTTCACAACAGAAAGTGTATATGGAAATTCCTTTAATATACTTGCAAGTTTTAAGAAAGATACAAACCAGCTAGGAAAGAATAAAGTAACCCACAAATTCCCTTAAATGTGGAATATGGTATTATCTAGAATCAATGTTTTATATTATTTGGGTCTCATATGTAATCATGTCTTACTGTTTGATCACTTGATTTCTCACTGAAACACATATCAAGTAATATATCATTTGTTTTTATAGAAGACTTGTCTCCCCTCCCCCTTAATGTTGTGGGGTTTTGGGGGGGGGTTGGCTTTGCCTGTTATACTTGGGGGTTCTTATTTTTGGATGGGCAAATAAGACCCTTTGCAAAGATTAATGTCACTCTCAAATTCAGAGGTCAAGTTCTTATCAGCTCCACAACACCAGGAGGAGCCCCCTTTCTGACATGGCATCCATTTTGTGGATCATTCTCCTCCCACCCCCTCCCCCACATGAGGCTGGCTCCATCCCTGTTGATTTTCAGTAACTTCCTTTTTTTTTTCATTTTCTTTTTCCCTTTCACTTTTTACTCCTATTTTCTGTGTTTAGTTTTTACTCTATTTCATTATCATAATCAAAATTCTTAATTTAAAAATACTTGATTTTAGGCATGGTTAATATCCGCTCATCAACTCCCCAGGCCATTTTGCCCTAAAGCAAAGACTCAAAACAGCATCACAAGAGTTTTTCTTTGCCCCAAGAGGCTACCAAAATAACTCATGAGGAACTATGTGGTGCTGTATCATTTGAGCCTCAAGGCCAAGGGAGGCAACCCAGTGAAATCTTCTGGCTCTCTTAAAGGACTACTACAATGTTACATTACAATCCCCTCTGGTTTTTAATAAACAAAACAGCTACTTTAGTGAATTTCCCAGCCAAGCCCCTTAATTTATTTTCTTTTAAAAAACAACAACCACCACACAGCACCAAGAGACTGGATAATATCAGACTACACTATAGGATTGTTGTGCACTAGCCGTCTCCATGGCAAATGGATAAAACACTAGGCAATTTCACACTCTTGCAGCCACTACATTTCTGCTATTATAATAACATTGACGTTCTTTATCTTCATTAGCAGAGAACGGAAAAGCCCCACAACTGTCCCCCTTTGCTACCAATCTTTTTTTTCTTTTTGAAGAGATGGGTACCCCGCAACAATCTAGATAAAAACACTTTTCTAACACCCAAATCAGGTTAGTTCCTTATAAATTAAACAAGCAAACTAATTCTTCGGAATTGTGCTTTCTCTGATCCTGGTGGCCCTACCTGAAGTCAGTTTAAGTTCCAGCTGGACCCCGGGCTCCAATCACGGAGACCAACCGAATTTAATTTCCACTGGATGGCGCACGGTCCACAATCTTTTCTAAAGTTTGACTTGACTTGTTTCGCCTTCCCAACCGCTCATCCAAACCAGAGAATTTACCCCAAGCCAGGCGCTACCGTTTTCAGCTGCATCTTTTTTGCTTTTAACTCTCTGCAGCTGCTCTACTGCGGATGCTCTCAAGTTCACTCACCGCTACATCTGGGGCGCGCACTCTTTGCCTTCCGGCCAAAACCGCAGCGGTTGCTTTCACCTCGCATTTATCATGCTACCGAATAGATCCCACGGCTTAAAATGGTGCCTCGGCATTCTTCCTTTTCCTGGTTCACAAGATCCCGAACAATGACATCATCCCACCAAGAGACGCCCCTCCCACACTTAAAGAAACAAGAATTGGAAGAAAGTTCGGAAAGCTTTTTGCGGAGGATTTGATCGGCCCTGGAAGAAGATTTAACCAAATCTTCAATGGTCTTTGAAGAAGCAAGATAGAAGGAGTATTGATGCCTTTGAACTTTGGTGGTGGGGGAGACTCCTGAGAATACAGTGGAGAGTCAAGAAAACAATCGGATGAATCATTGATCAAATCAACCCAGAATTGTCACTGGCGCCGATTTATTTTTCTTATTTCTTATTTTCAATTTATTTTATTTCCTTATTAGTATTCACTTGATTTTTATTTCTATTCTTTGAATTTTTCCCAAGGACCTTCAAAATTTGATCTCCCAATCATCTTATTCACGAAATAAAGCAGTGAAGATGTCTAAACTTTTTCTAATACAGAAAGGTTTCTGTAATAGAAAAGGATTGTAGAAAGAAGAAAAATAATGAAGTTTATCAGAATAAGATGAATGCATTTTTACAGGGTGACTATCACCAGGTGTCATCCTCATGTTGGAGGATACATCAATTGCCACTGTTAGTCCAAAGAACTTTCTATTGAAGGAGCAGCATCAACTTAGCCTTCATTTCAGCAACCAAATATATTGGGTTCTCCATCCATTGAAACATGTGAAATAATGCTTACTTAACATGTCTAAAGACTTTAATGCATTACAGTACTACAATTCATCGATAGGTGGGGTGAGTCTTCTTCTTTAGGCCATTTATGCTTAATTAGGAAGCAAATAGGTTTCATGGGTTTTCCTACCTAGTCAGCATGCTAGAGTGGCCCAGCTATTCATAAATATTTACATACTAATTATTTTATAAGTCATTTTAATTTTATAAATACATTTCAGAAACAAAGATTGTGGTGAGAATACAAGCAAACTCAAAAAATAATATTCACACATACTACAGTGTTTGCAAGGAGAAATAAAATATAATGAAAGAGTCTTTTACAGTCTATAAAATGGCTATGGCAGTAATCTTTGTAACTGCAGATTGGAACATCAATTCTGTTTTGGTTTTGTGGCTGATAAATTCATAAAAACTTGAACTTTTCATATTACCAGCACCTTCCTTGTCTGTTGTTGTCTGACCTCTGAAGGTCTTTGACAGCAAACATTGAAGTTAAACCTGCTTGTTGGAGTCAGAACAAAGTCTCCAGCAGAAATTTTATGAGTAACTATAATCCAAACAAATTCCAGCTAAGAAATTGGATAAAACAGAGATAATTCAGAAGTTAACATTTGATGATTATAATTTCCTCCTGCTGGGATGGGCAGATGTTTAAAAATGCATGCAGGTAGGCCAGGAATCTGAGCAAGACATGTGATGCATTGCGTGCTAGAAACACTGTCAATTCCAATTTTAAAAGATGTAGTTTTTAATGTAATTCTAAATTCATCAATACAGTGCGGATGCATTGTAATTTAGATGCAGATTTAACATCTCATATAATCAGAAATAAATATTGGAGATGTAACTACACACAGATTTCTTGCATAACTTTTGGAAGTAAGGTAAAGACAACACTTTGGATATGTGTGTTATTGGATAAATTAAGATTATGTTACAGGATATATTATTTCACAGGATGATTTGAAATGTGTACTGCTTTGATGTTTACATAATATTGTGAATTAAATGGAAAAGAATTTTTGTTAAATAAATAAATAAATATTGCAAAAGGGGAAAGGAAGAGGAGGGGAAGGGAATCTATAATGTCTCTCTGTATAGCAGTGCTGTCAAACTTGCGGCCCATGGGCCAGATGTGTCATGCCCTGCCCACTCCCGTTTTAGCGAAGGGGAGAAAAGTTGCGATATGTCACGTGACGACAATGTGTCATTGCGAGTTTGACATCCCTGCTATGTAGGATCTGCTTGATTTTAAAATACTTGGCATGTCACAAAAAATAAATTCCTTCCTTGTGAAAGTAAACAAATGGACAGTTCACTGAAAGAGCTTATAATGGAATGAATTAAGCATTTTAAAACAATATCTGTTTGTATGACTTCTGAGATGAAATAAGACAACTAGAAGTGATTGTTCATAAGTCATGTCAACATATATATTGTGCTAATAAGAGACCAAGGTCTCTAGACAGCTACTACAATCCAAGGAGCTCTTTTGTTTATAATTACTACGTAAGGAGGGAAAGACTTCTATTCTCAACAAGAGAACAAAACTCTGAATTCAATAGTCTTTTAATGTCTGAAATGCATATTTTAAATAATTACAACAAAGTTGTTTAGAAAATACAGTAACGCTCTTAATAAAAACAAAAATGGGATAAAAAAAATCTCCTAAAACTGCATATCAAAAACATGTAACAAACATAACAAATTGATGATACCAGTACATACACAAAATGCTTTGAAATAAGATCTATTACAAAAAAGGAATATATTAACAAAATTAGAAGTTATAAAATTCAGCATACTACTGTAGTAGTAATAGAAAGTAATATAGTAATAGAAATGGCTTAATTTTCAAGCATAACTCTAAAGACCTACAATTATAAAAACGTGTTGCAATTAAGTATGCTTGAGTTTAGTAGAGTAGCCCAAAAGCTCAATTCCCCATAAGTATTCTTCCTGATAGCAGCATTTTTACTCCAATTTTTAATGACATTTTCCAGAGTGTATTATATCTGAAAATATTTCTTCTATTGAAAATCCAGGTCTCTCCATACTTTAGAAGCTTGTTAGGAAGTACATTTAAGAATGTAGGTTTTAGGACTAAATTCCTTACAATGATAATCCATACGATTTTGAACTCACATTTTCTTATAAGTTATATTCTAATGCATTTGAGCAACTCTTCTACATTCCAGCATAGTGTTTTATTTGCATTTTATGGTTATTGTACTGAGATCAAACAATGTCTGAGATTAACATTGAACTGGCTTTCTGCCCGCATTATTGTGTGCTATAAAAACTAAAGTATGGTCACTATGCCAAGTGACTCCAATTCATTTAAAGATTAATTTCTGATAATATTTCAAGGCTATCCCTGAAATTATTAATAGATGCTTCATAATATTTTATTATAATATTGTAGAGAATATAAGTACTTTGTAATACCCTGGAGTAGCACTAGTTCTCAAACTGTCTCTGAAAACATGTTTGAACATATTTTCTAATTGCTAGAGGGAATCAGCAATTCCAATTAACGTAATCACTCTTAAAATATTTTAATATATTATCCACATTTGAGATCTAACCACTTCAATTCAAAGGCAGATAGAGATTCTGCATACTCTGAAAAAAAGCACCTATCAAGGATCTTGATAATTCTGTAATTCAAGTACACACTGTTCAGAATACTATTTATCTTAAAATGTGATGCTTTTTGCGGCACACTTAATTAGTATGCTGCTTATAATAGTTTCTCTAAAGTTAAAACACAGGTTGTTGTAAACATTAAGTGATCAGCTTTTGTATCAATCTTCTCAGAAGAGGAAAGATTTGAATGATCCCTAACATGTTAAATAATTTTTAAAATGCAGTCTTAAATCAAGGGAACATACTTCTCAGTCAGAGATTTTGAGACATTATGCCTCCTATTAAATAAGGATTTGAAATGAAGTTACAGATAGGTTTCAGAGTTGTGAGATATATTTTAAAAAATTTGAGCTTTAAGATCAATTTGGTGAAAAGGAATTGTTGCCAGTTGCATATTCTTTCACTGAAGCACCCTCTCCTGCAAGGATCCACAAATGCAAGTTTACATTTTAGTTACCACTCTAATAGCCTAGTTTTAAAAAAGGGAAAGCTTGTTATTGCTATGATAAACTTCCTTGGCCCACTATGCTCCAGGTGAGTTGGGCAATGATGATGAACAACCAGTACAACCTATCTGGAAGACAATAGGCTGAGGAGGAATGGAACTGGGAGCAAAAAACACTTGCTGATCTACCACAATATCTGATCTATATTCTACTTTTATTCTGGCTTTAAAATTATGATAGCAGCACTGACACTGCATTCGTATATACAAATGGATTAGGTATTCCTTATCAGCTCCAGATTTTGTCAACTTTTCAAAAGATACCTTCAGGAAATTTTTCCTTCCTAGCTTCACCAGTTTAAAAAATTATTGTTGGTCCCATCTATATACTTGGCATCTCTTTGCTTTCAGTCTGTATTGGGAAGGGTGTGCTTGTATAGATTCTTCACTTTCATCACTGAGATGGCAGGAAAAAGGCAACAAACCGGGGAGGTTTGGCAATTGCCCATTTTGGCTGTCATCTAGGTGCCAAATTTTAGGGCACACCAGAATTGAAAAGATTTATATGCACAATAAGAGTATAAAATGTATCTTTCCTCATAGTTTTACAATCATTTCTTTCTATAAATTTCTACAATATCTATGCCCAAAGTCAGTGGAGTAGTAGTGAACATCACATCAACCAGGCATTGCAAGTTTTGAAAAAGAAATAATTAGTACAGCTACGGACCTCAGGAAACTAATATTACCAAAGCAAGAGAAAAGACTGATAGGAAGGAACTAGGCAAGTGACTATCAGCTTTTCAAAGTTATACCCAGAAAAACAGTAACAGCGCACTCTGTGCATCAGCATGGCTACTCAAAAGATAAATATAAATCATAGGAGGGGCCACAAAATGACTGACTAGGATGCCAAAATGTCTAGAATTGGCTCTCCTGAAAGATGCCCAACAATGCCAACACCTGATGCTATATTTTTATAGTTTATGATTGAAAACATGGCTTATTTCTGTACTGTTCATATATATCTTTGGATATAAAAGTTCCTTCTTCCAGGTGAAGTCATATGAGACTATCCCAGTTCTGATTTGTAGCATCTTCTGCTGGTTTGTTCATGAACAAAGGCAATCTGGAAAGGGGTGGAACAAGACCAAATGCACAGGTACAGACATGGATTATTCCTCGAAGAGGACCTCCCTTTTCCCTCCTATGTTTAATTTCTATACAATTTCCAGTCAGAAATACAGGACAAAGACTGCTAAACAGAAGTAAATGATTATGCAGTTATCCTATATAGCATGCTGATAATTTTCAATGTCCCCTTATTGCTTCAAAAATCTGAGTACTGTAGACTTTGACATCTGTAGATTCATAATTAAAGGTCGTCCTGATCACTACAAAGGGTAAGTTCAGTTTATGCTGTAAAAATAAGTATGTTGTCCTTCCCCTAGAAAAAAAAAGCCCTATGTACACCAAAACCCATTCTTGGTTTTCCATATTGTCATTTTTCTCCTTTATATGTTTTTCTGATAGGCTCCATGGCCTCTTTTTGGCCATTCCTTCTCCACCCACTTCTGCAGTAGTTTTTCAATATCAACCCTTTGATATAATTTACAGAGATCAATCAGCTGCTCCACAGTTCTGTCACTGTTCCGTAACAAAAATTCCAAGGTGGGACTCTGTTGTTTTTGTTCCAGAAAGCACAACTCATCATAAGTCATTCCCCATTTGCTTGCAAAGTTTCTCCAGTTTTTCACTGTCGGGTGGGATGGATCCAATTTGATCCTCATCATATACAGCAAGTCTTCATCATTTAGTAGGTCACCGATGGTTGGCTGGTGAAATGTACACAAAGAGCAAGAGCCATTTTCTGTACATGACTTCTTCAAAGCTAGAATTACAATTATATTAGGGAGTTATTCCACTGTTTTCTGGCAGATAAAACTCTATGACATGCTTCAGATGTAATGAGCCTTGTTCATGATGATTTAGACTGTATTCTGCTTCGTTTCCCCATTTCCCCTCCCTCTCTGCCTCTTTTGCATGTCCATTTGAAGCAAATCTTTTTTGCTTCTTAAACTACAGTTTCCCATTTAAAATGATATTCTGGCTATAAAATTGGCTCATTATATCTGCACTGAACCATTGTTTGCTATGTGCTCTCCAAACTAAAGAAGGCACTGATCTTTAGTACACAAATGTGAAAAAGAACCATGTAACAAAATGACTTATGCAAAAAATGAGTGTGAAAGATATTGTATAATTATACATAAAGAAAAAGGAAACTTCAGAGAATGTAGTAAAAAAATTCAAGGACCGGTTATGATGTCAGAGAAAATGCAAGGTGATTTTGATGACAATAAGCAGCAGAATGGAACTAAGAATAAAAACAATGAAATGACTTGGAATGAAAGGGAAGCGAGGGAATGCTGGAATGATTGTTTTAGAGATTTGCATTTGCTTTCTACAGTAATAATTCCAAGTATCCTACTTACAACAACAAGAACAACAAAAAGTGGAATCAGATAATAAATATATTTTGGAAATGTGCAGAAAGTTACCTGTAGGTGAATCACCAGCACTACTTTGAGTGTCATCATCTTCTTCTGGCTACAAACAAATACAGCCCTGTATTAATGTCATGATATGAATTTAATTTAACAAATTATGCACCTTGAATTTAGAAAAATGTGTCATTAATATATCTCAAGGATTGGAAAGGTCAAACCATTAAAAAAAACCTAAATACTTTGAAGAAGCTGTATTTCTATAGAGGAAGATTATCATAAAAGAGAGGCACTTAATTCCTGAGTTCAGAAGGATTTTATCGTGGTAAGATAGATTTGAACAATCTGCAGCAGATGCTTTTGCTATTACAAAAAACCAACACGCTTAGATGAAGAGATTTCTCCCCTCCCGCTCTTATTGCAGCTTTAAAGATGAAAGCAGGTGGGGTTTTTCCCTTGAGATATTTTCAGTAAAGTACAGTTGGCTTTTGTATAGCGTCATTCACCTGAGAGTATCACAGAGCACTCTGGAATAGATCATAAACTGTGCATGCAAATACAGGTAAACTATGTAGTTATATAATATGCTGTAACCAGACACCTTTACTTACCTACACTTAACTGCATTAGTACATCCATTCCAAAGAAGCCACATAGATAATTTATGTGGCAAGGCCATGACAACCATGCATACAATTCCTAATCTGCCTTTTGAGCTTGATCACAATTTGGAGAGAAGGCAGGGAGAAACCTAACACCTTCAACTTAAACCGTTTACATTTCATTTTCAATTGTACCAGGCATATTGTTTCTGCAGTACCAGCTATGCTAAATATTGAATACTTTATGCCTAGTTTTCCAAAATATTATACATGGAACAGTTTTTTCCTCTTTTTTTCTTTTTGTTACATATTTTCTTTTTATTTTCATCAGTACTGCTTAATCTTATATGACTTCTTTTAGTTCCAGCAAAGCAGGATGCCGAATCAGTCAAAATGAGGGCAATGTCAGTCTTTAAATGGCATGTTTATTTTTAAATTTTCTTTTATTTTATCACCAAAGATAAAATACAAAACAGAAAAAGAAAAATGCCACATTAACAAAAATCCAAAATTAAAACAGAGAAAAAACATTGTGTACAAAAAAAATCTTTTGATTCTAATTTTAAACATAAAAAAATCCATCTCAGCTGAATGCTGAAAGATACATAAAAAAACAATATGTTCTCCTCCCTTTATGTATAAGGTCCACAAATAATTATAAATAATTAAAAATGTTTCCATCCACTCCAGTCTTTAAGTGGCATGTAGAATAACAGAATAATTTATTTGGAAGGGAACTTAGAGGTCTTGTAGTCCAACCCACTGCTCAGGCAGGTAACCCTACCATTACAGTTAAATGGTTGTCTCTTCTTTAAAACCTCCAGTGTTGGAGTATCCAGAACTTCTGGAGACAAGTAGTTCCACTATCTCAAAACAGAGTGAGACAAGGACCCAGAATGAGCATGGTCACTGACAAAATCTAAAATATAATATGAAAAATACAATTAAAGCAAGGTAAAGAGCTTATTTACTTGAGACTTCAACAGATATAGATTATCTAGATTTAAGCATAATATTGAATTAGAATTGTAGTGATGATTCAGTTGGGAAACTGAGCACAGGAAGTGGAAAGGAGAGAATAACTTGATAAGAGGTAGGTAAAAAGGGCATTGTGAGCCCCCATTTGGGACCTGGCAAGGCTGCTGGAGATCCATGAAATTGGGATTTTTCAATCAGAATCATTCATCTGGCAATATGATAGTATGAAATATGGAAATGCAGGGCCAGAATTAAAGAGGGAGTATTAAGAAAATAGAGAAGAGACAATAACACAAGTTATAGAAGCAGGAATATAACACAAGAGTTAACACTGCAATATATTTATTTTATTTTCAGTGTTAAGACTTAAACAGAATTACTTCATGCACACTAAAGAGAAAATATTAGATGATTTCAATAATGCTGATGTTTCCAGGACACAAAAATCATACACTGCAGCTTGTTCACTTTGCACAGATTGCAAGGGTAACTAAACTAAGCAATATTTATAAAAAGTAAAGTTTTTATTTTCTTAGAATTATAATTTTTATCAGATGTATCCAAATTTCCTTAATTTTTATTCAGTTTGATAATAAAAAACAAAACCAAATTACTATCCATTTGTGGGATAGTATACACCATCCAAGGTACAATTGCATTGAGAGATTATTAACTATAAAGCATTACATTTAACAATTTTCTTAAAGAAATGCTTCTTAATAAATTGCAAGACCAGACAAAACTACAAATTTGTCTCACATGTGAGGGAAGGTAAGAAAATCCAGTCTTGCCTAAAGGCAGAATATGGATTCTGCACATGTATTTCACTACTTAAGGGAAAAGAAAGAAGAGGTTGCAGCCAGAATAAGAATTTGCAATGCTTGAATCAAAATACAGCCAAAAAGGTGTTAAGTAAAATAACTAGGAATCAAAGCAGTTTGGTTGCCTTCTAGTCCTAAACTGTAATGTGGTGATTGCCTTTGGCTTGGGGCAAAATGTTGAACCCATACAATTGTGGTTTTAACAACAGACTGTTGTTGCAATTAGCCTGTGGCCTATGGAAATGTATGAATGCGGTCAATAAGTTGCCAATGCTGCAAATTTTTCATGCCTAGGTTTGCATTTCCTCAAGGACTTCTTAGTATAACATGAATCTCCTATCTCTTAAGTTCTTAGTTAGGGCTCTCTCTGGGTATTTATTTACTAAAATATCATCTACTCTTGTGGTCTATTCTTCCTGTCCTAGACAGTTTATAACATTTGGACTAAATCATTAATACAATAATAAAATCCACCCAATAAAACAAGAAATAATAAACAAACCAATTTAAAATTATTTTTAAAAACCCCATAGTTGCCGTCATGTAAGTCTGAACTCTCTCTTTAAAGACTATTTTCTTGTTTTCTATCATTTGATAGGTGCACTTTGGGACAAGTTATTTCAGAGGGAGGATTTAGTATAAGAAAATCTATCTTGAGTCCCAGCCCCACCCCCCGATATCTTTCAGGATGGGTACCCAGGCTTCCCTTCTTTATTTGATAGTATATATCAGGCAGATTCTACATGAAGTAGATGGTTTTGAAGATAACAAGGGGCCAAACTGTAGTATGCCTTTCCTTCACTGAAAGCAAAGTAAATAAGGAAGTAAGTAAGTAAAATCTTATTACGGTCGAAGACCAGCAATACACATTAGTTTTTACACTATATTAAAAAATACTAACATTAAAATATAATTAAAATGTATTGACATTAAAAGTGGATAATAACATAATGGTTCAACTGAAAGCAAAAAATATCTAAAATTCAGGATTTTTTCATGGTGTCTTCTGCCCTTTTTCCAGATTGAACCTGAGTTTGAAATTAAACTTTCAGCACTGACTTACAGTAAACTGGAGAACAATACTGAAAAGTCTAAATGTTGATAAATAACAATAAATAATATTGACAAATATTCTAATAGGATCAATAACATTTCAATTACCTGGTGTATCAAGCCAGAATCTGATGTTAGGCTTGTAATGTTAATGGATGAAATTTCCAAAGTCACTTTTTCTGTTTGGTATTCTTCATCTACAAGGCAAATATTCTTCAATGTTAGTCAGGTTAGGATCTCTTGATCAACATATTTCTAAAAAGGTTCTGTAATTCAGAAAGATTACAATGCCAATTCAAGTAATGTATCAGGGCAAGAAAGAAAGCTACAGGCATATTGTTCCATTCATAAAATTTAGCATAACCAGTGACGACTTGCCTAAAATTCTACATACCTAAGATTGCAGAAGGAACTAACCTGTGGGCACATTATCAACCATTGGCTTCCAGAAAGGATGTATTGAATGAAAGCCCTGTGTATATACAGAGTAAGTGAGGAATTGCTAGTCTCTATTATGCTAATCCTCTTTCCCCTGAAATAAAATACCATACATCCCTCTTCCAAACCATTTGATATGTCACACTTGCCTGCTAGTCACCAACCAATTACATTAAAATCATCATTTTATAACAGGCTCCCATATGAGTTGCAATAATTATTAATGATAACATTTATCTGAAATGTCATGTAACATTTTACTGGCTTCATTCCTGAATATCCGGTTATCATTAACAGGTACAAGAACAAAGCCAGATATTTTAAACTACTACTCTCATCAAATCCAGAGCAATTTCAGGTCTAAGTATAGCAGAAAGAGAAGAAGAAGAAGATGGGAAAGAAGAAAAAGAAATTGCTGCTGAGACAAACCTTGTAAAGATCAATCTTTCTCAAACTTGCCACAGTTGGAATTTACTCCAAGAATTCTAAAAACTGTCATGGTGTGTGAGCAATTTTGAGAACTTTAAGTTCAAACAACTCGAAATGCCCAGATCCGGGAAAGCTAATGTTAGACTGTAACTTCTAGAATACTCAGTCTGCATATCTACATGATACCACAGGAGAAGACATCCGTAGTTATATCTTCTTTTTCATAGTAATCATCTTAAGTCTACCTTCTAGAACATGTATTACATTCCAAGTAATTTAATAAACATTGTTACAATGACAATTGTTACAAAAACAAAATATTTAAAAACCTTAGTTAGAAAATACTGCTTTATCAGAATAAACATTCTTATTTTTATTTTCCATTCCATAGACAAAGGAAATTTCTTCAAAATAATTATCTCTCTTTAAGTGATTTCTCTCTTGCTATTGTTTGGTTGTTTATTGATTTATTTTGGATACCATCCATACGTATTTTTAGAGTAAGTTGAGTTGAATTAGCAAGGACCAGATCTAAAACATGACTAAATTTTGTGCTGTATATCTGGACAAAAAAAATAAGTTCCACAATTACATGAATAGACTGATGATGTTCCTTCTGCCTTTATTGCTTCACACTGTATTGATTCCTACTTTGGCAGGATCTCCTAGTTTCCTGTAGATACTTTCGGTATCAGAATGAAATAAGAAAACAGAGCATCCATATGCAATCTTTTGGCTCCAGCTAATTTTTGGTTCCCAAATATTCTTCTGTGCTGGATGTCAGAGAAAGTATATATTGAATGTTGAATGTTTATTTTATTTATATGCTGCCCTTTTCCCCCGAAGGGGACTCAGGGCGGCTCACAACTCAACCAACTATATTGTTATTGCTTACCCATTGCTTTCTTATAAGTGTGCTTCAAATGTTCATGTATGCTTTTAAAACATAAATGGCAAATATGGACAGATTCCAAACAGAATCCTCCAGAAGTGCAGATGACTAGTTTGGGTAAGAAGCATGCCCTCAGTGTTACTATCTATTCCCTCAATTTTAGTAGCTGGCCATGCAGGATTATTGGAAACTTAGTACCTTAAGAAGATCCCTAAGAGTGAAAGAATTGCATGAATATATAAATTATATTCACAACTTGCAAAAAATCACCAAAAGGCTCAACTTCTGAAATAAAACAAAAGTCTAGGATACATGGTTCTGAAAGGTGAACTGACTTTAAATCAAAAGGAACAAGTTATTGATGTGGGATATTTGCAGATAACTACTGCTATATGCTTAGGATAGATTCAGAGGCAAAAAATAGTATTCAATGGAAAATTCCAAGTACTGCAAAGCATAAGAATTCACCTTATGGAGATGTAAAAGAATATATATTTAATCCTCAAAGAAATAGAGGTAAAACTTTCACCAAAGTGACTTTATACAAAGTCTTAGCCCTGATAAATGACTTTAGGTTGTAGAGATCCAAGGCAGGTTAATCCCCATTTATCTTTCTACTGAACCAAGAAATGTCAGGAACATTATAATTGTTCCTTTGAGTATGAATTCCTGAAATTCCAGGCACCCCAGAGAAAATGTGGGATAAATGAATTATTCCCATTTGTAACTGAGTGTTGAACTTAGTGGTATAATACGTACAGTATGTCCTATGATCATACACAGAAATTCATAGGACTGTAGTGTTTTCCTAAATTGACAATACATAAAACATCATGCGCTTAGGAGAAGGAACAATATCTACAAAAATTGTCTGATTGTCATTGTGGCACCTTTTAGATTTTGGTCAGTATCATCTGTGCGGTCTGGTTATCTCTTATATAAGGTGTACAATATGAGAGTCTTCGAGAGGAGCAAGTCCTGGATTAAGGATGATCCTTCTGAGCACAGACTGAAATTACATTAATCTTGCTGCTGCTGTTATCCATCTGTCTACTGATGAGGCCCACCCATCAAAGAGAGTGTTTTCAATACAATTTGTAAAGTTCTGAAAAATTCTTCATGAGAAAGACTAACAGACTTCAGCAAGCCAAGCACAAGAAAGAGAGCCATTAAGTGTCTTGCTGTTGGCTTGGTATTTCATACTTACTGACCTGCCGCTTAGAGATAATATAACCTTCAGAAGAAAATAGTCCTGATGCCCTTTGTTTATCCTGTGGGAGATGACAGAACAGTAAGGCTATTGTCTTTTATAGGAAACAATGATGTTAGCTAGATAAGCCTAAAGGATGTAGAGCCAAAAAAGACAAAGCTGCTGTAGAATAGTTACTGTGGTTCTTTAAATCAGATTTCTTTCCCTCATGAGCCACAAGGTTTTTTTTCTTGACTTGGACTGAAATGGGTTTATAGCTAAATGGTTAAATAAAATGTGTAGTTCCTTCCATCAGTTCTTTATATTGTATAACATCAATGGAACAGAAATTAATCAATGCTGTGTGCCCTTTGCAGATTAAAAATAGAACTGAGTATGATAACTCAGCATCCAGAGTAATCTGGAACCAGGCTTTTAAAAAAAGTAAATAAATAAACCAGCAACCTAAGCATCTGTAAGCATCAAATGGAATATTAGATCATCCATACCCTTTGAGTGAATAATCCCCATATCTAATGGCACGGATAATTGCAATAAAATGAAATTTGTTTTCTAACATCAATGCAGTGTACTAATTGCCTACATTCAGGTGCACTGTGATTAAGGTTGCTTGTTCTGAGGGAGGAGAAGATGAGATGGAATGCTGATACTGAACTTCAAACAAGCTTGGCTCACCACCTCCATGAGGTGGTATCAAAACTGGAAGATGGGCCCGGATAGAAAGCGATCATGCCTCAGCTGGCATGTTACAAGAAAGAAATTTGATGGTCCAGGCTGCATGGCTTGATTATACAACGTATCAAACAAAGGTAAGGGGTCTGTTAATGAAACTGCTGAATTTCCTATAGAGAAGGTGACTCAGATAACTTTAATAGCATGAGGAGGCAATGGAAACAATTATCACAAATTATGTTGTTCCATATGAAATAAGATATACATTCTGACAGTGGAGACAGAGAATATCTATCAACACCAGAAATTTTATGATTGGGAAAGTTTATAAATATATAAAGTTTATATATAAGTATATATTAGAAATTAATTTAAAAAATTGACTGTGACACTGACTGACTCAATACAGATAGTATGAGAACAGAAACTCCTACAGGTAAGAGAAGCAGAAGAAAGTAGCTTTCTGAGGAAAAGTAGCATGGGTCAGTGAAATTGAGTCCTTCAGGGTAGGTAGTCGACTATCTCCCATACAAGATTACTTTACAAATAACTCAAGGCAACTTACCTAATAATCCTTCTTCCTGCTATTTTCTCCACAACAACAACCCTCTGAGATGAATTGGGCTGAAAGAATGATTGGCCCAAGGTCACCCAGCCATCTTTTATATCTAATGCAGGACTTGAGTTCACATTCTTCTGGTTTCAAGCCCAGTGTCAATTAGACCAAACAATATCTCTGGTGATGGAATTGAGCTTCTAAGATGAAAATTAACGAAGGAGAGAAAACCATAAGATATGTTCTTAATTGATGGCTTCTTGACCTTAGATTTTGAAGATCTCAGAGTTAATAAAAGCTGGGAATTTCAGCAAATATATCTGGAGTCAGTTCTAGAAAATTATGAAGTCTATGAAGGGACATAATAGATTCTCTATTGTGTCATGTCATATCTAATCAAGTTTCATATTACAATATTTTTTAAAAAAAATAAGAACTGCAATCATTGTCGGTTTCTATTTTTACCTTTGGGTAATGCTGTATCTTGGACAGGATACTTTTCTATCTGTTCAGACAAAAAGAAGAAGCATATTTTTATATAATTATTTTAGATAGATTTTGAAACACCAATTATTTTGACCTATTAAGTTCTTTGTTCTGCTGAATTTGTAACCTCCCAAGCCAAATACAGTCTCCCAGCTCTTCACTGAGCTTGCCAAGTATTCAACAATTCGCATACAGTATTTATCCAGTCCCAAGTAGGAGTAGGAATCAATGAAGATTTATCAAGCCCCTTATCTGAAAGTTTAGCAGAAATTATGAAAAACTTGGGATGGGTCTGCCGGTAAAGATGACAATCTCTCACCAAATCCTCCTCCCTTCTTCAGAATCTTTCACTGAATGATTTCCAACACTTTCATCCTTATAAGATTTTGAAGCTAATACTTTAAAGAAAATAATCCTTGAGGAACAACTTCATTAAAGTTGTTCATGTCATGAATTCATGACATAGTGCAAATAATAAAACCACTACAAGGGTTCTCGAACAAATCTTGGATAATGACTCCAACCGCATCTCTCACCACTGAGTTTTTTGGTTACAACTCTTTTTTATCCACACAAACCAATCTCTGAATCAACAGAACACTCTAAATATGAATCACTGCTTAGTTATGGTCATTTTCCTTCTTGATTACAGAAATTAACACATACTAACTGCCTTGTTTCTAGTTGTTACCATTTCAAGTAATATCACCAAAAATAGCTGGTTGTTGCATAAAAAAAGAGTGCACTAGCATCACTCATTCTTTATTGAGACATATGTAACTGAATGAAACAGGCATTAACTTCCCATTACAACACTTTCTTATTATTAAAAAACAGTCAGAATTCTATAGTTTTTAGAAATCTGAAACTCAGAAGTAACTTAACTAAATATTATCTTCCCCAGCACTTCATGCTATTTGTGTGGCAAGCTAATTAACTATTTGGGAAGATCATAAAGGAAATGATTGGATGGTCATGTCCCTGGACTTATTTCAGAGCCTGTATCTTGTCATATCTTAATTACTGAACTTTTCTATGAGTATGAAATAGTATGTACTATAATAGCAACCAACAAGTAAAATAAGTAAATTAATAACCAAGTTAGTGGAAGTAATGTTTCCTTTGAATCAGTCTCAATTTCTGATAGATGTAGTTTTATTTTCAACATAAAAATGTTGCCAATACCTTTTAGTAGGATGTTTCTTCAACTTCCCATTGTAATCCACAACCCTTCCATTTTCTGGTAACCCTCATCCAAATGTTAACCAGCTCTCACTCTGCTTAAGCTTTTCAAACTTAGTCAAAGTCAGTTAGGTAAAATCACTTAGCTGGGCAACTAGCCAGTTCAACACATTCACAAAAGACAGTACTTACATTTTCTGAGGATAAAGTGCTAGGGTCAGTGTCTTCTACTGGTTCTTTAGTTACTTGATCTGATGGGAAAAAGCCAAAAAGGGGCTTAAGCTTACAGTCATCAACATTTTAGAGATATTTATTTATTTATACTTTGATTGCTTACTAATTACATACACAGTCATTTTGCTGCAAACCCCACAAAAGAGGTTCATATCCTTGTTTATCCCAATTGGGTGAACATCCTTTAAAAAATGGCTTGCTCTTGTATGTTCTTGCATATGTTCATGACAGATGATCATGTGTCAGTTCAAATATAACAACCTTGCTCAATAAACACAAGTCTAAAAGCCATATTAAATTTAAAAAACAGGAAAATTTATTATAGTTTATTTCACAAATGGGTTTAATTTACATTAATCTTCTAAACTATTTGAGTATATAAAAATCAGCATAAAATATCTTGAAACCATTTAAGTTGTTCATTCACATTTCATTTATACTATGTATTTCAGTTTTCAATAAGTTCTATAAAAAGGGTGTCAGTTATCCTACATTAAATACTTGATTTTCCTCCTTAAAAAGTGCAAATTATAATATCCTTTTTCCCACTTTAAAGTGGTAGATTTTTTTTTCCTGCTGAAGGATATAAAGTTGAATTCACAAAAGTTATAGCATAAGGCAACCTTTTATAACAATTTCACTACACTTCAGAGGGATGCTGCAGGGCTTAATTTATTTAGCATTTGAGTGAATGATTCATCAGACTTTGAGAATATGAGGCGCTCCAACAAGACTTTAAAAAAACTCAAAAGTCATTCTCAATACAAAGCCTAAAATACGAAGAAGGGGAACACTGAGACTCTTTCAAAACCGAATCTGTGTGCCTCTTGTCAGTACGCGGTGGGTAATTTCGAGGAACAAAATCTCAAATCGGAGAAGTCAGGGGACAAAGACTTTCATCTAAGAAGAACGCTGCCTTTGCCAGAAATAGCAAAGTAGCAATGCAAGTAGTCATGCTAAATAATACGAGAGGCAGAGAGCTGCTCGCCTTTGGCAGAATCCCGCCAACGAAGAGAAGCTCCACAAAGCCGGTGGGAGGATCAGTGTCCACCCAGGGAATCCGCCCGCCCCCCTTCCTCCCCCCGCACTGCAAAGGCCACTCCAGGGTCCCGCCTCCCTTGCTCTGCCCGGCCCTCCTTCCGGTGCCCGCAGTGCCCGTCCGCAAAGGGCGCGCAGCCCACTGTTCCCGTGCCTCTGCACTGAGGCGCGGGCGCCCGTTGCCGAAGACTTAGGCGACGCGGGTTTTTACCTTCGGGCGGAGCGATGGCGGGAGCAGCCATTGGGGGCGAGGAGGTCGGCCAAGCCGTGGTGAGCTGAAGGGCTTTGGCACCTGCGATCGGCCCGCCGTTCCCCTCTCGGACCCTGCCGCTTTCTCCTACTACTTCCTAGTTAGCTACCGCTGGGCGCTTCTACGCTTCCCCCTCCTGTAGGGCGAGAGAAACCTTGGAAGGGAGCGGAAGCTGCAGGTAAAGCCCGAGCGAGCAGGGGAAGAAGCCTCTGCGGGGCGGGGGAGATACGCTTTCCCCACCCCTCAAAGCCACGGCGGTCTGCCTAAGCCTGTTTTCTCCCAAGCTTTTCCCAGCTCGATCGGCGACTTCTCAAAAAACATGCGTGGCCCCTGAAAAAATGCCTTGTAGCATCCGTTTTCCCCAGGCAAAGCGGAGTATCTTAACTGACTTGCAGATTGTCCACCTGGAGGAGTAAAATTCAGGATTAGAAATAGTCACTGAAAACAATCCCTCCTTTTGATAAAGTACAGGTAGTCCTCGAGTTACAACATTTCACTTAGTGACCATTCAAAGTTACAACGGCATGAGAAAAGTGTCTTATGACTTATTTCTGAGGACACACTTAGGACTGATGCAGCATCCCCATGGTCATGTGATTTACATTCAGATCTTGACAACTGACTCACTTTTATGATGGATGTAGTGTCCCAGAATTATGTGATCCCCTTTTGCGACCTTCAGACAAGGGAAGCTTAACAGCTGTTTTACTAGTTGAAGAACTGCAGTGATTCACTTAAGAAATGGGACGAGGAAAGTCGTAAAATGGAGCAAAACTCATCTAACAAATTTCTCACTTAGCAACATAAATTTTGGGCTCAGTTGTGGTCGTAAGTTGAGGACTACCCGTATATGAAGTGTCATCATTGTTAACCTTTAACACTGGATAATGTTATAAAATGTTTTTGCTTAGCTTGCAACCTGAAATATATCTGTGACTAAGATCTCATTGATTTGGCTGAGTTGAGTTCTCAGTAGCCATAGGACTGTGTTGTAAGAAATATAAGAACCTTTCAAAAACAAACTTTTTAAGAACATACTTAGAGTTTGCAATTGAAATACCTGCCTACAGGGCTTGTAATTTTAAATATTTCTGCTTACATTGGGTTTTCCCAAAAAATGTTTCATAGCATTCTCACACCAGTTTTCTCAAAACATTGATTTCATATAGATGATTAATAATTCTAAAGATTTTTTTATCAGCATCAAATACAATATGTAATAAATTGTGCAATCAAATGGTCATTAATATGAGCCTGATAATTTGCAGTCATAAGGCCTTTCTGAACTGAAATGCTGTCCTCTCATCCTTGAGTTGGAAAAAGCTCTCACAGCATAAATTTGCTATCTCCATTGCTAGAAAACCTGCAGATAATATTTCAAGTCATTGCAAACCTCTGGTTTCCTTCAACTTAAAGGTTGGCACAGACTTCTATATGTACATCCTGGGGCTACACTTGATACAAGAGCAAATGTCATTTCAGTTAAGGACGTAAGGCTGTCTCAGTTGTGAGAGACCAATATGAAGACAATGTCATGAGAACATAGCTGAAAAAAGATGTTTCCAGTGAATTATTTATGCCGTAATTATGTGCAAGTGGACAATTCTTACTGAAACTTGCTTCTCAAGATTATCACATTGTACTACTAACATTTCCAAGGTCTTGTCTGGCAAAAAAGGTTCAGTCTTTGTTCGCCAACCATGATTTAAAGTCGGTTGCATGCTGAAACATATCTGGGATAGTGTGATCAGAAGACCAAAAGTAAAATGTGATGCATTATTTCATGTAAGTTTACAGACTCATTAATATTAATTCATATCTCAATTTTCTAAGAGACCAAGCAAAGATTTTTTTTTAAAAAAGGTTAGAAATTAGTATCTGCAAAGCTTTTCTGTAATTTCCAATAACTGGAACACTTCTTATTTCCTATTGTGCTGTTACATTGTATGCAAAATAATTTTCAAATCAAACCAAGTTACTAGTGCCTAATAAGCATTAGACACTCAGTCAATTGAAAGTTAGAAATCGTTTTTTTCCTTCATCCCCATCTACTATTGCACCACAAAGGACATACACACAGCAGCAACTAGGAAAATAAAATGAAAACTACACTGTTTAGAGACCTTTATTACCAGATACTATTTCAGTGATTCTTGTTCTGCCTATTGTATCTCCCCCATATATGCCATATATGGTTTTTCAAAAATCCAAGTGACCATGTGATGGCACTAAACAACTGCATTTATTTATCTTTTTGCTAAACCTGGCTCATGGATATACCATATGTACCCTGAGCCACATTGACTGATGATAAGAAGCTTTGCATTTTTAGAATGATTCAAAAGAAGAATCATTGGCATTGGCTTTGGTGTCCTAGGCCAGTGCCTACTCAACCATAGCCTGAAGCCAGCACAGCTCTTGGTTATTAGCTAGTAATTGTCTGGATTTTTGCAGCTTTGCTGTGATAGCCCTGCTGAAATATTTGTGGAGATGCAATAAGCTTTGAACACAAAACTTAGTTCTCTTGAATATTCTGCTGCTCATGTTAGTCTTCTTGGCTGGCTGGGATAGGACTCCTAGCCTGAGGCATTATCCAGGAGTTGAGATTGTGCCTGGGCTCAGATCCCATTCTGGCAAAACCGATAATTTTCCTCAACAATAAATGAGCTAGTAAATACTTTTGACTCATTGATTTAATTGGGTTTTCTTTATCTAATTTTAGGATTTGTATGGAATGAACATATTAAGTCATATTTATGTAGAAATACTGAAAATTCAAAACGGTTCACATATTTTAAGTATCACTATACATACATAACAAATGTGTACACTATCCACTTTAGAAGCTGTGTGCAGTTAACAATCAAAAGAATAAACACTATAGAATGAGCAAATCCTAATCCCATTTTTAAAAAAAATCCATACCAACACCATAAATAAAAACATCTGTTTAAACAATCTTCAAAAAGCACCCTATAGTGATTTTCCAAACTATCTGCAGAACAATTTGGTCTTAATGACTGTGAGCAAGGCCAGCAGATTGTTCCACACAAATCCAAGGTTGTCAACTGCTCCACAAATGTGGAAGCTACCGCTGAGGACTACCTTCAGGCCACCAATCTCCTTCATCCCATGATCCTCAGCATCTCCTCTCTGAGTGAATGCACAGGATGGAAGCATTGATTTCTTGATTGATTGTGGAAATTTGGTCCTGGAGATACAGAGCCAAGCCACGTAGGGCTTTACAGGTTAAATTTGACCTGGAAACCTACTGATAACCAGTATTGCTACCATAGCATTGAAGCTACACTGGTAAACCTTCTCACCCCCATTAGCAACTAAGGTGCTGCATATTGGACTAGTAATACAATACAATAGTAGAGTTGGAAGGGACCTTGGAGGTCTTCTAGTCCAACCCCCTGCCTAGGTAGGAAACCCTATACCGTTTCAGACAGATGGCTATCCAACATAGTTTCAGTTTTCATTTTCAAAAGTAGTGTAATAGTGCATCGTAATAGCCTAATTGCATGCTGAAGATATTATAAATTATTGCCATAAGCATATCTAAGGCAGAAAACTTGCAGCTGCCATACCAAACTATTCACTCAGAACATTAAGCATAGTATCTTCCTTTCTTCAGTATGCAGCTATTTATCTTGGCTGGTAACACAACCCTAATCTTGATTTCTCGATTAGACATGTCCCAGATGAGTGTTGCTGGGATTGCAAACTAAATGAACTTGCTTGAAAAACATTTATGGCAATTGTTATTACACAATGTAGTCTTCATGAGATAATTGTTTCTGCTGCTGCTTTCTCTGTTCAATGAATGCTAAGCCAAAGGAATAAGTATGTTATGGATTTCTTTATTATAAATGCCACATCTTTTATCTTTTTTTATAACAGCTGCAAATGGAAATGTTTTAATTATTTCTCTATTTTATGCACTTTCTAAGTCATGAAGGTGCTCATTGATCTTTATAATTTCTTTTTTTTTTTAAGAGAGTCATTCCTCATTCAATTCATTTACAGTGGTAACCTGAATATCTGAGCACTGGAAAACAATAATAATATAAAACCTCTGAAAGTCAGGAAATCTTATGAATAGCAGTTCCCACTTTTCATTGTGGTTTGGAGATATCACTTTTCCATCTGCAAAATTATATGATCTGTCCAGGACAGAATTTGTCTCTAGATCAGGGGTCTCAACCCCTGGTCCATGAATCGGTGCTGGTCCATGGAGTTTCAGAAACCGGGCAGTGCAAACAAGTAAATCCCCATCCACGGGATGCAGGCAGCATATGAAACCTCATCCCCTCTGGTCCGTGGGAAAACCTGTCTCCACCAAACTGTGCCTTGTGCCCAAAAAGTTGGGAGCTGCTGCTCTAGATTACTATGGATCAGCAATCCTATATACCGGTATATTTGCTGGAGAATAGGCAGCCCATTGAACATAGATAGTTTTTACAAAAATAGGAAATAAAAAAGGGCTGTGTCTATAATCTCCAGAATCTTAAAGATGAATTATAAAATCAGAAGTTATAGATCTGATTAATAATTTTGAAATAAAATGAGTAAGAAACATGAATAATATCAACAATTTCAGTAAAAATTATTCTTAGATTTTCAATGTATAATGGCAAGCCCTCTGTATCAACAAATAAGACAGTGCCCTCTAGTGATTCTCAATCCAATAATACTGTCAAATATAGAAAATTGTAGTTTTGGGCTTAAAAATAAAAATGCCTTTTAAGATTTATTGGTGCAAATTAATTTTTAAAAATAAAATTAAGCATTCTTTGTAATTAGAAGAGTAAGATATAGTATTCTAAATAGTCTGTCAGGTTCAAAGGACACTGTTGTATAGCTCATCAATAGACATAGATATAGCTCTGAGTCCCAAACTGGTAGCACAGAGTCTAAAACAATGGGGGCACTGGAAATCCATTCTTGTAGCAACTATGGATATTATACTGTGATGCTGCTCACAATTTTCTATCAGTTTTTGGTAGCATCTGTCTTCAAAGTTGATAGACACTCGCCAGTATGTTGTGTCTGCAGCTTTAGCTTCTAGCTCACTTGGCTGGATGTTAAAATGGCAAATGGGTTACTTTTAAAGCGTCTATATAATGCTTCATGGTCAGCCTTGAGGTCTCTTCCCAGACTCTAATGCACTATAAGAGCAACTGGTGAGGCATATAGCGGTCTTCCATTCTGATGAAATGCCCCATCCATCTCATCTAAGTTCTGATAATCAGGTGTTCAATGCTGGACTCATATAAGATCCAAAATCTCCAGGTTGGAGCACAGTCATGCCAACAAATGCTGAGGATGGAAAGGAGAGCGCACATGTGAAATTTCTCCAGTTGATTGATGTGCCTTCAATACAGATTCTAGCAACCACATTCCAATAGGAGGAGAGGGATGACCATAGCTCTGTAGAATTTTAGCTTTGTGGAGATATTGATGTTTTGTTGATTGAGCACTCTAATATGCAACCACTAATGTGCCTTGCTAATCTGAGAATCAATTTTTTGTCCAAAGACCAATCCCTCATGATGCTTCCCAAGTATTTGAAGCTGTTTACATTTATCAATTAAGTGTTGTCAACAATCATCAGTTTCTAACCAATGACATCATAAGAATTTTCTTCAATTAAAACATGAGACTAGTTCTGCTGGATGAAGCCAAAGCTTATTGACGATTCCTGGTTGTCTTTCTGCATCTTTCCAGTTCTTTCTGTGGTTTTCAAATGTGAAGCCAAAACTGTGTACGGTAGATAGTATTGCAGACACAGAAGTGTCTGTTTGTCTAAGAGCTTTATACTGTTAGCAATTTTAAAGGTCTTTCCTAATGATCCATGCAATGGAATTTGCCTTTTCGCAGCAACCATGCACTGAATCAAATAAGCTATCCACTATTATCCCTAAATCTTTTTCTTGTTTGCTTAGATACAGCTTAAACTCTCTTGATCCATGTACAGTAGTTTTTGCTCAATATGCATTACTTTCTATTTAAATTGAACCACATTTATCTCCAGTTTGAGGAGAACCTTGTGGATGTTTTTACAATCATCCTTGGTTTTACTATTCCAATATGTTTAGCACCATCCAAGCCTCGGCTAGTTCCCTGCTTACTTGTAACTCAAGATCCTTGGTAAGTAAATTCAAAACCACTGGTCCAAAATCATTTTTTTGGAGAAATCCACTTCTTATAGCTATATATTCAGAATGCTGTCCACTTACTCCAACTGGCTTCAATTTTTAAACCAGTTCCAATCCATAAAAATATGTTATCTTATTTAATAAACTTTGACAAGGAATTTAATCAAAGTCTTTTTGAAATTCAAACTTTACATTATCAGATTTTTCTAGTTATGGGTCTGCTAACATTCTTCAAAAGCTTTAAAAGAATGATGAGGAGGGTTGATCTTTGCAAAATCTACCCTGATGTTTCCTTTAGAAGGAAATAATTCTTGTGTATTTTTTAAATTATTATTTATTTCAACATGCTTGGGACAAATTAAGCAGACCAGCCAATAACTTCTCAGAGCACCAGTCATTAGTGCCAATGAGGACTATTATCATCGTCTTCCCAGCACTATAAAGTACTTTAAATTGTATCTGGAAATCTATTGGTAACTCATAGTAAATGTCTAAAGTAATGCTACCAACAAGCTAACATAGAGGCATTGTGCTTTGAACCAATTGCAGTTTTCAAGTGATCTTTAAAGGCAGCCCTTTAGATGCAATAATCTATGTGTAAATGACAAGGTCAAAGTTATAGCAAGATCCTCTTGCCCCCATAAGATCTTTGGAAGATGAAGTGGGCAGAAGCAATGCCTTTACATCGCAGTTCATAATATTCTAGAGAAGTAACTATGACTATCTGAACTGTTTTAAAATTCTTATTGAAAATATAAATTATTCTGTGTTCTTTTGTTATTTGTATAGTAAACATAATCAACAATTACGGGGCATATCTAGAAATCTGATTGTATCTTACAAAACAAATCTTGGAAAGTAATTTTATTATGCATAAACATTTCTTTAAATAATGCAATAATTGGTGTAAAGCAGAATTAAAATAATGGTTTTACAAGGGGGGAAAGCAATTCACAATTATTTAGAGCAAATGCTAATGATTGAATTATTAAATGACTGAAGGAAATTGAGAAAAATCTTATAATGATAAATTAGGTTTGTTTTATGCCTGGTACCTGAAGATAATTCACTAAAGGAAAAAAAACTATTTATTAGATCTGCCTACAAACTGTAACAGTGAACATTTGAAGAAAAATAACGTCCTACCTTAGCTCTATTTGGGCATCAGAATACTCTTCATGAGCACTTGGAAATAACATCCAATGACGCTTTTTGCTTTGGAAACTATAGAAATACTACTTTTCTCCCAAAATTATTTTGCCCGTTTTCATTTACAAAAAGCCTGTTCAAGGTTTTGTCTCTTTGGGAGGCAAAGGGATTGTGGATCGCATGGAGGTACATAGAGGTACACAAAGTCCCTTGTTAAACATTTTGTAACCAACCATCCAGCCATAGGGGAAGGACTTAAGCCTCGATCCTATACCAGTATAGGAAGTTAGTGACACCAGTATAGACTTGTCATAAGCATCTTTTAAAATGTACATTCATAAATTCCAGGCAGAAATTTGCAGAAACTGAGTTCAAATTCTGTCTTGGTCTATCTAACCTTGGTTTAGGATAACAAAGATAGTGTTTCTCTGGTCCTGTGATATCCTGCGAGTAATGAATAAGAGCAGATTCTAAACAAGGGTCTTGCCCCTTAAAAATGCTGGGAATTGCAGACAAAAACAGTTGAAGGAACTTTTTCAATGGCAATTGCATTTCCAAAAATTGAAACATTGAGAGACACAATATTTTTTCACTTTGGACTATTATATTTAATCACTCTTAAAATAGATGTCAATCCAATATATCATTCCTATTAAAAATGAAATGTGTGTATCTCATAAATATATGTTCTGTTCCCACAATCTTTGTTTTTATTTTCCTTTGATGAATTATTTATTTGGATTATTAATAATTATTTTTACATTTAATATCTTTCCCATACTTTGAACAAAATTGTCCTCAATGGTATCCATCAGAGGTATTTGATTGCATTTCTCATACCACCTCTAGCCAACTTGGTTATACAAGATGGAAGTTGCGGTTAACAAAACTGGAGGCACCAAACTGTACATAATATCTCAGCCTGTCTTCTTCTATACTTTAACATTTTCTTTTTCTTTAAAGTCCATTTCTGTAGCAAGTTTTTTCCTATAAAGTTTTTATATCAGTTTAAAATTATAATTGTGGGGAACAAGATGTTATCACACAGAACATAATGTTGCTTAATGTTTAAATGATCATTGCACTCCTACTAATGATTAGTCAGCATGGGAAGAGGAATTAGATCTATCGATTTACATTGTTTACTCAGTTAACTTTAAAACTAAATACTATATTTTAAGTATTGGTTTAAACTCCTTTTACAGTTTAGGTTTTCAAACTATGTGCACTATTAAGAGCTTCAAATTTCTATTGCCTTGTTTTTCCTAAAAAAAATTAATATAAAAGTAATAAAGTGACATGCACTGGAATAATGTTCCTAGTTTAAGAAAAATAGTTTATTGCCATGATGAAAATGAAGTACTGCTTAACATAAAGATCTATTCTGGAGGCAAAGAATGTAACTTTATGTTCTGTTCTCTTCTTAACTGTATCATGATTCAAAAAGCAAGGCATTAAATTTCAAGGCATTAAGTTGCAGAAGGATACCCCATCTACTACATACCAGTTAATCTATATAATAAAGCTAAATCAGGTATTATTTCTCTCAAGGAGTTTCACATTTGGAAAGAATAAAAACACCAGTCAAACAATATCATTAAAGTTTATTCCAGCTGGATTGAGTAAATGGCTACTTTAGTACACTCATAGTTATGTCTATGTTTTTATTTCTAATTAAAAGTTAAATAATTTACAAATGTTTCATAAATAATTGTCTTCTAAATGACCATGTATACCCTACACACAATAGTGCTTATGGGCTTCAAAAAGTTAGAGAATAACTGGATAACAACAAGCCAGGAAGAAATTCTAACCTTTTAATGCTATGTAGTATTTATCCAGATTTCTGCTAGCCAGATAAAGTAACTGTACACATACACACAAATACTATAGGGAAAGAAATAAATCAACTGTGAGTGTCCATTTCCAACCCTATTATTTTTGATGTATCTGGATAAATATTACAGCTCTTGTTTTCAGCTCTATAGTAAAGTCCTCAAATAACCTAAAATGAAAAAAACATATTACACATTAAGGAGACATAACGTTTTTCAACATTCACAAAATAGTTTGTATTATGTTAATTAGAAGCCAGAGAATACTATATTTGAATATCTGAATAGTGACTATAAAATCTATATTCTAAATACTTTGAAATTTTGTAGAAATTTTTTGATTGACAGCATAAAATGTCTGTTTTCATTATAATGGAAATTTCAACTTAACTAAAAGTGATGTTAACACCTGAGATTATTTTAATTTACTAGTATAAATGTTTCTAAAATGTAAATACAATGCTTAATATAGTGATATAAAGAATTAGTTAATTTGAGATTTAAAATATTGTCCCAAAGGTGCTTTTTTTTTAAAGCACCTGGATTTTGGTTTTCCTTGAAGACATTTTGCTTCTCATCCAAGTAGCTTCTTCAGTTAAAAAGCGCCTTTCAGACAACCATGATCTGGATGACTGAGAATCTCAATAAATATTGAAATTAAAATATTCCATCCATTTGTCATAATACTGTTTTAAATGAGTCTATCCTGCTTTGATTGGGCCATGTTAAAGTAGGACGTAAAGTGAGATTTGGACATTAAGTGTGAAACCTACTAGGTCAAGGACGGCCTCTCGGGGCCCTTTTACTTCTATATTAAAAAGGCACATAGGCAGAGTTGCAGCTTGCAAAAAAAACAGGAAGCAAGTGCCTAACCGCAGAGTTCAATAGTCTCACAAGACCACAAGGGTCAGCTAAAGTTCGCTTAGAGACACGTACTCAGTACCTATGACAAGGTAACCAATAAGAAATGAGTTAAGTGTTTCCNTTCGCCCCTCCCCTTTCGTCACTCGAGTACAGTACTGTGGAGACCGAAATATAAGCTGACGGGAAGAGAAGTGGTTGGTGTACTACGTTTCCCAAGAAGCTTTGCGCGGGCGAAGCTCTGTGATCGCTGCTGCTTACCGCTCCTCCTCCTCCTCCTCCTCCTCTGTAAAGGAAAGCGCTTGCAGGGGAAGCGCGCGTCTACTCTCCTTTCGCCGTGTGTTCGTCTGTGTGTGTGTGTGAGGACTGGCACCGGGAAAGGAGCTAGGGCGGCGGCTGGAGGAGGTGAGCGCATCCACCCGCTCGACTGACAGGTCCCTTTCCCGGCAGAGCGGGGGATCGGGACAGGGAAGGCATCCCCCCAGTGGTGCCGGCGGACATCCCGTACTCCTGGCTGCCCAAAGGCGGCGGCGCGGGGCACGGGCCCCCCAGGGACCCCGGCGAACGGCTTCTGCAGCATGAGCAGCAGTGGAATCGTCCGGAGAACTGCAGCGGAGAAGGATCGGGCGGCGCAGCTCTTGCTGGCAGCGGTGACTCTTGGCTGCCTTTGGTGTGCCATAGAGGCCCAGGTGAGCGGAGTCGCCCCATGAGCAGAGAGTTCGGTGAGGGTGGGGGAAAGCCATAGGGATCTGGAGTGCCTTGTGGTCTCCAAACCTTCCTGCTGGAGTTGAGATGGGAGAGTTGCGAGAGAAAGTCGGTTCGTCCTCCGCTCACTCGCTGAGACCTCCTGGAAATCTCTCTTCCGGCGTTGGGGGGGATTCTTTGCTCTAGGTTAGCAGGTGTTTAATGCTGATTTGTAATTAAGACGAGAGAATGTCAACTAGGATTATATTGTACCCTGTAAGGAACGGAGCAGAGAGAGGGAGTATGAAGGACCTTTATGTGAAAGGCAGGGGAGGGTGGGGGAGAAGCTCTGCTGTATTTCTATGTGAATAAAGTGCAAAGCGTGCTCAATAGAGGAAGGAGAGCTTTGAGTGCTTAATGTTTATTATCTTTTTAAAACTTCAGTGGGTTTTGTAGAAACTCCAGATTATGTCATGAAAAAGTCTGTTTAAAAGTCAACGGAGCAAACAGCTATGTGGCAAGAGGAGCAGCATCTTTCTGGCTATTTGAGTTAGTTCACTCTTTGGGGAAACAGGTGCTTCTAAGAAAGCTCGCTCTCCAAGTCAGGTAGACATAAGATGAAGGATGGTTGCTTAAAATGCAATATTTTTACTGAAAGTCTCCTAGCCTGGCTCAAACTATTGAAAATGTTATTGAGAAACTTATTTTTAACCATTGCTTTCCTATTAGAAATACTTGGGGGCGGGGGCTCTTTAAATGTAGTATATGAATTCCCCAAACAAGTAAAAGTATGAATAGTATTGCACAGAGTCTGTTAATTGTCTAGAGGTAATCTCCCTCATGAATGTACCTGTGTGACATGCAGATTTATAAACACAATTTTTATAATAGCTGCTTAAAACAGCACAGGAGCCATTTGTGTGAAGTGTGCTTTAAATTTGCCTTTAGTTTTGTTGTAAAGAATACAACTATTTTTTTCATGAAACTGTCTTCAAAAGCATATGCAGCTTACTTGAAAAGCTGATAAGCAAGTAAATATCTTTATGGTAAATCATGCTAATCACAGTGTGGGTTTTTTCTCCAGAACATAAGAGCTGTGGTGGACCACACAAAGGCCTATCTACCACACAAAGATCATTCATTTGTCAAAATTCAATCTGGGTATCAGTAAGCAAACCTTGAGTGCAATGTTCTCTGTTTTATTCAACAAAAGTAGCCTTCATTAATATGTCTTATTTTTTAAAGCAGTTGAAGTTCATTACTGCAAGCATATCTTGCAGAGGCAAATGTAATATATGTTGTGAAGAGATAATGACTTTTTATCTATTTTGAGTCTAGTTAGTGCATAATTGGAAGTTTATCTTTCTTTTCCTTGTAAAAAGGCTAAGTTTCCTTGCTTTGAAGGAATGTATGGTTATTACTTATTGGTTGTTCATTAAAGCATTTTAGAATTTTGGCTCAATCTTGCCCATATACTCAATAGAGCTGGAAATATTCTGAGGACTTCTACTAAATTCATACCTGTCAATCTTACACAGAGCTAAAGATATTTAAAGTTGTTAGACCAGCATTTCTCAAACTTTTTGCCATCATGAAATGTTTGGAAAATGTAATTAAATTAAACAATGAAATAATGTGGGTGAGTCCTAGGTTCCCATAATTAAATGCTGCGATCTTGTGGGATCTAGGAAGTGTGTCCTCTCTGTTGTGGCCACTACCCTCTGAATAGTATTTATTTATGATTTCATCATTTCAAAACAAGATGGATGGCAATTACATTTCATAAGTAAATGGTACATCCAGAGAGGAGAACTGAGGCTATGAATAGGCTTTGACTTGGGCCACCAGATGGACTTCTGCAGATAGTTGCCACTGCCAGAAATCATTTAAGTACTGTAAAACTTACAGATTAGAGATGAAAGAAGGCTTGGAAGATCTATTTTTTCTTTACTTATTTCCCTAATAATTACCCAACAGGATCATTTTAAAGCAACAACATACACTTTTATTTGAGAATTTGACATATTAAATGTATAATCCTTTCCCACAGAATACACTGTTCCTCAAAGCTATATTTATTACTATTACAATGTTATGCTTTGTGTAGCATGTCAGGGGTCATTTTGTTGCTAAGCAAAAGGACTTATTTTCCTATTTGCAAAATAATGAGAGATCAAACAGTAGATCCACATTTGTTTTCATGCCAGCTTTGTAGATATTCAGTCAACCTTAGCAGTCAAAATGGTGGTTACAACTGGGAAACGCATTCAAAATGGCTTCAGTCACATAGATGTGACCACTGTTTCAACCTTTTTGACACCCGTAGATGCCCCTGGTCTCAGCCATGATACTCTTCTTGAGTACAGTTTGCACTTAAGCTTTAGCATTTAAATTTTCCATTTGAGTAGGAAAATTTTTCCCCTACCCACCCCAATAATCCTGTGATAACTGATTATTGTTGAAGTATTTCCATACATATTGGAAATATTTTTGTCTAATTAGCTCAGGCCAACTGATATCTAATAAGTGTTTTATTCTTTTAATATTTGGGGTACAAGAACAGGACAAATGTTTCAAATATTTTAACATAATACTGCTTATTTCAAATTTAGCTACATTTTGTATTCATTTCTTATAGTTAAACATTGTATGAAATATTAATCTACATACTACCAAAACTCTCATTGTCATGGCCTTTAACTGGGAGAAAGAGTGTATCGTAGGGCAACTATTTTTGAACCAAGCTACCTTCAAATGTGCTAACTTACAATATGTGTACAAAATCCAAGATTCCCGATTTCCAGCGGAATCAAATTTGGGAAATTATGGTTGCTTCAGTACTACTGACTGCTACTGGGCTGATGCAACGGTCACACATTCTTCATTTTCAGTATTGTGTAACAGTTTCCCAGCCACTGGCAATCCTTCCATCCCTCCCCCACCCAGCAGCAGCAACCCACTTACCTGCTGGGATTTTTTAAATTCCCTCCCAGATTACCACTAGGAAACTCAATGGAAAAAATGGCAGGAAATCGGAAGTGACTCCTGCACCCACTCCTGCACTGCTTTTTTGCCTGCCCTTGGTCATTCTGTTTTTCTAAGTCAGGAAATTTCTTTGAAACAATGACCTAATAGCTTCTAATTAGTTACTGTGCTTTAGTACTGTGGATAGTTTACAAAAATAAAGACAGGCTTCATTTGACAGATGTGTTGTAATGAAGAAAGGGAAGACCAATTGTGAAACATTTTCTTCTTATGTAACAGTAAAGAGACCAAACTATATAGTTTCCCTTTTTTTAGTTTTAGATTTTATAAAGTAACCGAATCAGTTAAAATAGTTAAATTCCACCTATTGCTATTACCTCTTACTATTTTTAATTCTTTCTTTTTGCAGCCTAAATCTCTAGTGTAAATAACATTTCTAGCTGGGTTTTTTTTCATAGGTAACAGGATTACTTGATGACTGCTTATGTGACATAGAAAGCATAGATGACTTCAACAATTTTAAGATCTTTCCCAAAATACAGAAACTTCAAGAACGAGACTACTTCAGGTATTACAAGGTAAAGTAAAAATGACATATTATTATAAAGCTGATTGAAAGCTAACTTTAATTCTCCAAAGAAAGGAATAAAATAAACAATAAGATGTAAAAAAATCAGTATTTTTTTTTTAAAAAAAGGTCCAGGCAGTGGGGCAAAGAGAGGGCTAGAGCTATGCAACACATTTGCTAGTGCCCCTCCTTAGGCAGCAGCTGCATCCCCTGGAAGGTTCTTTGGAGCTCTTTCTGGGTTCTGTGGGTGTGCCTGAACAGATGACCCTTTGGGGCAGCCAGCAAAATACTATAAAGTGGCCGTGTGTAAATGTACCCAAAGCGATAGGCAGGGAAAGCCTTCAAAGCAGCTGCATGAAGCTTGTGAACAAATGCAGCTGCCTAATGCATTCTGGAACGTTACTTCATTTGTGACAATGAAAATCCATTGAGGGTGGAATTGATAATATTCGGAAACATTACATTCAAGGCAAGATATTTTCAAAAGTTGTTTAAACATAACTACTAACTAGTTTGAAACCTATAACTAGTTGAAAATTATACTGTTTTTCTTAGTGAATTAATAAAATACACTATGTATATAACTGAAGGACTGAAGGGAAACAGGAATAAGTAGCAGTTTGTTGCTGGAGATTATAACTGTCAAATTTTAAATGGATGTGATAATGCATTCATAACTATGAGGTACTAGATCTTTGGCATGAGCTGCATTTCCTCCTCTGTTACACATGAGCTCAGAAAATCTAGTTATTTCCAATGACCTTTTCCCTTTTTGTTCAGTTTGTTTAGTCTCATAATTTTAAAACACTTCTTAAATGAATAACATTTTTAAAAAATTGTTATTTAAGGTTAATCTGAAAAGACCATGTCCATTCTGGGCTGAGGATGGCCATTGCTCTATCAGGGATTGCCATGTAGAGCCTTGCCCTGAGGTAAGTTTCAAAACAAAGGAGAAAGCTGAAACAAGATTGTATTGACTTTTCTAGCTCTTAGTGTACTCTGAGTTTTGTTTGCTTATAGATGTTGGATTGCAGTTAGGTAATATCATTCGTGACAGCGAGTATGAGATTTTCTCACAGTTTATATAAAGTAGTTTGTCCTGACTTTATTGGTTTTTTTTCTCCTTGGTTTAATGGTTGATTGGAATATTGCTTTCTGCTTGATCGTTTGTTTAGTGTTGGCTGCTGGAAGGGATTTGTTCTGGACTTTTTAAATTATTTGTTTGCTTTATCATCTTTATTATTGTTTATTTATTTGGAAATTTTATTTGGTTGTCTCTACACTCACATAATTATAAATAACTAAAGGTGGCATACTTATCTAATATACCTTCCTATTTTCCTGACAATGACAATTCTGTGAGATGTTGGGCTGAGAGAAGGATTGGTGAGGACCCAACCAGCTTGCATGCCTAAGGTGGGAGTAGAACTGATAGTCTTGCAGTTTCTAGACCAGCACCTTATCCAGGAGACCAAATTGTCTCTCTAAGCGAGCAACCTCTTTTTGTTTCTTTCTTTGTTTTTTATTGACTCTTTTGAATGGCTGTGTAAAATGGTTTATTTTTATTAATGTGTATTTACCCTAATCAAGGACCTATCAAATGAAAATTAGACCCTACCAATATTGGCAGGGCAAGCTATTATAGATAAATACTCACATTCACTATCATTGGTGATGATATCTAGGTGGGTAATGAAACATCTATAAGCAAACAACCAGGCTCAGAGTGTATCAAGAACTCCACAGTTCAACATTGAGCTACATATATTCTCTTCTATTGGATTAACTATTCTGTTGACAACCTAATGTTTATTGTTACTGTGAGGATTTTATATAAGTGGATGTCAGTGACAGAATGATGATTTAAATGCACATTCTTGCATAAATGCTATGTAGACCTTGATTGTAGTATAGGTATTCCTTTGGTAAATTGGATTTATCATTTTTTCTTAAGCATTTTATAGGGAAATCTCTTTGTCTTTGGTTGAATTTGACTCCCTTGAAATAGGCATGCAGACATTCAAACCTGTCAGATAATAAATGAAAGTTTCTTAAAAGTCAGTTTATTTGTCTGGGGAATTAATGCACAACTAGTCTTCTGTCTGTTTGGCTCCAATTCTGAATTTTCTTTAATACATTTATTTTGAGGGTTGAAAATTGCTTGAGAAAAAGTAAAGATAAATGCTTACATCACTTGTATTTATTTTAGAGTAAAGTTCCAGTTGGAATTAAAGCTGAAAGTACTAACAAAGTAAGTAATTTCTTTCAAAATAATCTAATCCTCCCTCTCCTACATATGGCAAATGGTAAATGTGTAAAATCTTGAGTTTGCTGTCCACGCATGCCATTCCCAAATTCTTATGTAACATTGTGCTGTACAAAACCAGTGCCAGCTGGTTTTGCACCACTGCAAAATCAGTGGCAACTTTTTCTTGCTGTTTGTATATTGCTTTTGCCTTCTAATAGAGAAGAAGTTGCAGTTGGCAGTAGTATATTTCATTATGCTTCCTTGTCCTAGAAGCAGAGTTGATATTTTTGTCCTCCTTTCACCCACACCTGCCTCTCTTTTTTCTGTTTTCAAAGGTAACAAGAGACTAAATAGAACTACTCTAAATAGAACAGGATAGGATAGAAATCTGGTTAAATTTATATCATGTACACAATATAAATTTTAGCTTATAAGCACTGGAATAATTATATTATTATATTGCTGTATTAGTCTCTTGAAGTAAATATTGCAAACAGTTTTGCAGTGCTTGAAAAGCTCAGAGAACTCCTTGTATAATTTTCATATTTTTTTAAAAAAATACATTCATGTCTGGGACTTAGGGGACCAAGAGTTTATAATAATTCTTTAGTACAATGAGGAATTTGGGGGAACACATGCAACAGAAAGTTCAGGATTTGGAAGAAATTATAGTAATGTATTAAAAAATTAAGTACTATTTTGAATCGAGTAATACTTTAGATAAATAACTGGCAGGTATTTATCTAAAATATTGGTATTGGAGATCTAAAGATTACATATTTTGCCTTTCAGTATTCAAAGATAGAAAACCATACCAAAGAACATGAAGACTGTGAACAAGCTAACAAACTGGGTGCAATTAATAGTACATTAAGGTAATTATGCTTTCAATATTAGTGGAAGACATAATTCTTATTTAATGGTTCTCTATATTTTTTATTCCTTATGTTCTGAGGAAACAAAATAGTTTCATATTTGATGTACCTTTTGTTTGAAACATTTGCATCAGTTCAATTTAAATTATACATGGGATGAATACATGCATCAGATAGCTGATAGTTTCTACAAAATGACTGCCTCTTAATTTCTTAAAACTATACTCTAGTGCAATATATAATAATGAACTTCTATCTCACTTTGACTCATAACCTCCTTATTACTTTTGATCAGGTGGTTATAGTTTTAGATGTAAACTTTCTTAATTTTAATGGGTTCAGAAAAAATTATAGAACAACAATGAGGAAACAGTTATTTATTGCAACAGATGTAGTGTGAATATGTAATCTAATTCTGCTGAATCTGTACAGTAAGTATGCAACTCTAATGATTATTGCAAATAGTTCTAAGAAAGTGCTTTCTGGCTCTGTTACTATATGGAAAATAATATAGGTGTTTATGCTACTCCTATTATCTTGTCTTGATCTATTTAATTTTTAATCATTAGTGGTTTTTCTGTGAAAGCTTGTTGGGATTGTAACAGATATTATTTTCAGGGTCATCCTAATAATCCTATCTCTGATTTCTATGTAGTTTGAAAGTTATATAAAAATAAATGCATTCAGTCCATAGCTAATATTATTTTCTATCTCTCTTTTATATAGTAGCCAAAGTAAAGAAGCTTTCATTGACTGGGCCAGATATGATGATTCCCAGGACCATTTTTGTGAATTGGATGGTAAAATTTGAGGCATATTTTCTTCACTGTGTAACTTAAGTAAATAAAGTTAGATTAAATATCCTTACACTTTAAAAACAGAATGTATTAAAAGTTCTTTAAAATCATTTCATGTGTAATAATATTCCAAATGTAAATAAACCTTGGGCTTACTATCTCTTATTGCTTTTTTGGCTAATGTTAAGTATAACAATTGCAAATACTACTAATTCAAAATGTTAATCTAAGGGGGACCTGGTTGGCAGAGTAATTAAGAGAATGGAAAGCTAGCTTGGAAATTGTATTCAAAGTGATTGTCAATGAGTCTTCATAAAATTGATGTAAGCTATTAAATGGGCTGCTATAAGATACAACCAAAGATGCATATTCTTCAACATTTTATTAAGGTTTGGAATACTTACCAAATTTGCACATATGGCTACAAAAACCAATTCCANCGTTTCATGGCAGCCGAAGCAGCAGCAAAGCAGAGGCTGACAACATATGAATTTATATCCAAAATTTCCTTGCCTTTATACAGATCCATTACATGTGTTAATATGTGCCAGGTATTTGTTTACATTTCCAACACTTTAGGGACACATTGCTAAACATTCTGTCCAATCTTGCCAGGGGCAGATGCCACCTATAGAACATTTTATAGAGATTTTCCTTAAATGATGTGGCCATTGTCAGTTTCCAATTTCTCTCCCAAGACAAAGCTTTTGCCATTTTCACAAATCTATATTATGTCCAAAAGTTTTAGCTCATACTATCATCATCTCTTTAACTTGTTCTTCTTCCATTTTATAATTTAATAAATAATTGTATAGTATCCTGATCAATTTGTCATCAGTCCCAACTAATATCTTGTCCAATGTTGTTAGTTCTCTATAAAAACTTCATGTACCGGGGTGTACTGCCTGCAACCCACCACTGGTCTGTAGTTTTTAATTTGCATTAAGTCTGAATCCATTTTTGGTATCAAAGTAATGTTAGCTTCCACCCATGATGGTGGTATCTTCGCTTCAGTTAAAACTGCATTGTATACCTCTAAAAATGGTTGGCGCAGAGTATTTTGTATCTCTTTATATATTTCTGCCAGTAGCCCGTATGGGCCAGATGTTTTTTTTTATTGCCTCTGCTAGTTCTGTCATTGTTATCCTTTCGTTCAACATAGATTTAATTTCTTCTGGAAACTTAGTAAAGTTAGTTTTTTCCAGGTATTGTAATATTTTTTCTTCTGGATGTTTTTTACATCCAGTAAAATTTGAATTTAATTTTCATTAGAAATGAACCCTTTGGAGCTTTGTTCCAGGAGCAGGCTTGTTCCACAGTTTAATAGCATTTATGGTCAGGAAATTCTTCCTTATTTGCATTTGGATCTCTCTCTGTACAGCTTTTATGTTTTTGTTTTACTCTTGGCACTATGCAAAACCTTCTGTGATATTTAATGTTTAATGAAGCAAGAGGAGGAGGAGGAAAAGTGAATTCTAAATTTAAGAGCAAATGACCTGTTAATTTCTGAGAATAAACATCCAGAGAAACCTAAAAATAAACAATTGATATAGTTGTATACTCCTCCCTTGGCCAGTCAATACTTTGGTCTATTAAAGAGATAATCATAAACATCCCACGGTAGTCTATGTTGTAGAATTCAAGAAAATAAGAATTTTGGTTCCACATGCAATAGAGAAAAAGGACAACGAATGCCTGAATTATGAGAATACACAGAATACAGATACATAGAATACACACACATGCGCAAACATAGAGGTTGCCAGGACCAATCTGCTAGAGTTTAAATAGAGTTAGACTACCCTTGATTTAGAATCAGGGGTATCAAACTGGTGGCCCACGAGCCAAATGCATCAGGCACAAGCCACGCCCACCGCAGCTCCACAAAGGGAAAAAAGTTGCAAAACATCATATCATGGCAAAGTGTGGTTGACTTAGATTGTATTGTGATCTATAGCAACTATTTTTAAAGTGTTTAGTTGTAGAGAAGAATCAGTATGATTTTCTACTTAAGACTGGACTTTCAAGAAACAGAACAGAAAGTCTATTGACAGAAAGTCTTCAAATAATTCCAGGGACAGCGAACAAAACAAAACATGGCAGAAATTTATTTTTCGCATTTCTGTATTGCCGCTCTCCCTCAAAGATTATTCTTTAAACACTTACCAGTATATGAAGGCAGAACTTTCTTGACAAGTTTGTAATGCCAGGAAAAGTGGAAGAAAAGAGTACAACCATCAGCATTAACTCAGCTATAGCACCAGTGGATGCACCATTGGAAAACCCAAAGGACCAATACGGTGACAAATTCTCATTAAAAAAAAATCTATTTAGCTGCTAAGAATTAACATTGACTCAAGAGCGTAATCAATTAATGTTTAATGGTAGACTAGCAGTAAGGGGACCCATATTCAAAACTTAAGGGCATGTTGCTAAGAATAGGCTGAGGGGAATGTGTTTGCAGGGTTAAATACATACAGAATAGCAGAGAAAAGGAAGACTATTAGAATGATAACCTGTCTGGAAATGTTTATGTTCAGTTCAGTTCAGTTCAG